GTGGACATCAAAGGTTATACTGCCTGTAATCCTCTGTAACCCTTTCATAACTGCAGAGAAGGCAGGACACCTCTATTTTAATTCATTTTTGTATCTGAATGGTTTTTATTAATTAAAAAAAAAAAACAATACAGATCTCCCCTGTCAGTACTGGCATGCTGCTTTGTATTGCTCTGCATAGCAGAGCAATACAAAGTAGCATGCTTATATAGTAAAACACACACAGGCCACATAGTAAAACAGCACACAGTTAACCCTTTGATCGCCCCAGATGTTAACCTCTTCCTGCCCAGTGTCATTAGTAGCTTTTTATTAGCACTGATCACTGTATTAGTGTCACTGGGGATGTCAGTGGCAGTTAGTCAGTTCCCCCCAGTGTCCCAATGCCCGCCGCAGTCCATTTATAAGTCGCTGATTGCTGCCATTACTAGTGTTGAAAAAAAACCCATTCCAGTATATATACCGCCATTTGTAGATGCTATAACTTTCACGTAAAGCAATTAATTTACAATTATTGGGATTTTTTGTAGCAAAGACATGTAGCAGAATACATTTTGACCTAAATTTATGCTGAAATTAGATTTTTTACTGGACATGTTTAATAGCAAAAAGTCAAAAATATTGTTTTATTCTCAAAACTGTCTGCCTTTTTTTTTTGTCTGCCTTTTACGTCCAAATACCAAGGACTTAAATTTCATTTGGGTGCAGCATTGCATGACCGCACAATTGTCAGTTAAAGTAATGCAGCGCCGTAACACAAAAAATGGCCTGGTCAAGAAGGGGGGTAAATCCTCTGGAGGGTAAGTAGTTAATGATTTCAGTGCGGGAAGTTGTACTCTCGTTGGCTTTTTTCGTCAGCCCTGCCTAAGTTCTCCCTTCAGGACTACAGCACACCGTCCCTCATTTCCATAACACAAAAGGTGAGGTGTGCTGTAGTCCTGAAAGGGGAAAACCAAGCAACACAGCTGTTGGCTTCTATATCACTACAGTGTCCTGTAGTGACCAGCATGTGAAACCCCAGGACCCAGCATCTGACACACCAGTTAGTGTTGGATAGTAGCAGTGTTTCTAGCTGTGCAAGAGTGATGATTGGGAGGTCCTCTGTTGGACAGGCAATTATCCAATGCATTCTTTTACAGTGTCACTTTTTATCACAGCTATTGAAATACATGTGTGAGCGCTATTTTGCCTGCTAAAAGGATTTGTATTTTTGTGCAGATCAGTGAACTCTGCAGATGTCCAGCACTCCCTGCTGTGGCAAGCTGGAGGTCTCCAATCAGCAGGGAGTATGAACTCTGCAATTGTTAGGTACAAAACATATGCTATTGTTTCAGCCCTTTGAGTGGCAGAGAGGCCACTGCTCTGCATAGAAGCTCAGAGACCAAAGCTCCTTTTCTGCAGCATGCTGGCAAGGGACAAGCTTTTAAACTCAGACTTTGGCTGTTTGGCAATATAGAAAGAGAAGGTAGCGCTGCTATGTTTAAGTGCTGAGGTTAGTGCAATATGCATTAACCTTTTTTCTCTCCCCACTGGCATATAGTCTGGTGTTTTTAAGCTGCTTTTCTATACAATAAAGTGGATATGTGCTTTAGTGTAGCCTCCTGCACTTTCCATTGTTCTCTTTAGAAAGCAGCCACAGTCTGAACATCAAATTAAGTCTTGCCAAAATTTGGGGGATGTTTATTAATAAAATCAAAGTTGTGTCTGCAAATGTGTGCATTTTGTATATCTGTTGTTATTATAACACTGCAGTTTAATTAAATTAATGTGTCACAATCCTTTGCTTTGTCTCAATATGTTTGGCATAATTGTTATAGATATGTACCAGATGTAACTATACATTTTGCCTAAAATCAGCCCTCTAAGCCTGTTTAAGAATTGGTCCATATCACTTCTTAAAAGGAGAAGCATGTCCAAGGCTCTTTTGGCCATAATTCTTCTATGGGTCAAAGGAGTGCACTTAGTTCTGCATTCCTGTGACCTAGATTTAAGCCAACAGCGGGCCAAAGCCTGCTGATGGCACAGAACTGATCCAGGCTATGCAGACATTCTGACAATAATGTTGGGATCTACCCAGATGCCTGAATGGCATAATATCACTTATTTGTAAATCATCTTTATATCTAGGTTTGCATAAAGGACTGTGCAGCAGTAATCATCAGTGTTAATTGGTCTGCAGACACCCAGAAGGTGCTCCAGCCTGGTTTCTTTAAGTTATTACAAAGATACAATGTTGCATCGTTTATTTTTTATTAATACTATAATCTCATACATTTATAGCAGACAATGCAATCTGACTTTAAATAAAAAGTTACCCCTTTCCCACGTTGGCTGGGCTGAGATATGGCTATATAATGCTCACTACAATCCAAGATGTATCTACAGCTTTCTAGAATGTTGGGAGCTAGTAAGAGCACTTGGATCCCAGGAGTTAATATGGGAATCAGGCCTTAATCTGCTCCAATCAAAAAAAAAAAAAGCAGTGAAGGGCAGTGTCTGTGTTCTGGTATACAGTGAAAGGATCTGCCCATCTCCCACAGATTTTCAGTAAACCATGGCAACTTCCTTCCATCAATAAACAGGGATTTAGAGGTGACACGTTCTCTTTGTGGGTATTTGCATATTATTTTGTGATGGAATATTCTTTACAAGGACAAAGATGATCGTTCAGTTTTTGCGCACTTGCTGGTTTCTGATCAGGGCTCCAGTAGTAGAAATGAATTCAGAATTTCCATCTCCACCAGACAGCAACATCTATTTGAACACTATACCATGACATCACCTTCCCCAATGGATTCTTTGTAATGCAAAACTAGTAACAAGTGATTCTAACTGCAAGATGGAGACTTCTTCCTGGTGCGAGAGGCAAGGACACAAACGGTTGGGTTCCCTCGCCATTGGAGCCTCCAAGAGATTTAAGAAGCTGGACGGTGATTCATCCCACTCAGAACTGAAATTTCAGTGTTGGAAGGAGTTTGTTATTATAATGGATTTTGGATTTAGACAGGATGGCTATTTTAGTCTTCATATATTATGCAGTCCTAAACTGTGCACAGATGTCACAATGCAGCCATGGCTTCCACAGCTTCTATGAGGTTCAGGGCAAGGCTGTATTGACCATTGTTTTCCGGAAGAAGTTCCACAACTTTGTCTACCATTTTGGCCGTGGTAGGGATTGGCACATCAGTATTCTGGAGATCCTGTGGATCCTAAAATAAGAACAAAGCAGATTTAGTAGACTGCTCCTGTGTGACCTCTTTCCAAGAGACAGGAACCACGCAGACACCAGATTCCAGCCTCTATTCCTAAACTGTAATGTCTTGCTGGATGACATAGAACTAAGTGATATAATGGCCTGACATTAAGAGCTGTGGCAGGTTCTGACTAAAGCTGACCACCCATGGCTGGAATTTTAGATGTTTCATCAGAAACAGGACACATTTGGTACCCTCTTGCCCCGCATCCTTCAATCTGAAAATCAAAGGAGCTGGGTGGAGAACTGACAGCTAAATAGTGACCGTATCCAATCAGATGCAGCCACTATTCAGGTATTCTGACAGCCATGAGTGCCAGCTGTCAGATTACGATAGGAGTGATTCCATGCCATTTAGCATAGGTGGGGATATTGACAGATTTCTCTTGTTCGGGCTGTTGGACCACTGGAACACAAGTAATTAAATGTTACTTTATCCCCTTCACGCCTAAGGATAAAACAAATCTTAAAGCTGAAGCACACTTTTCTATGTGTTAGCAAAACCGTACATATCATCACAACTATTTTGTGCATGTAGGTGGATTATACATTGTTTTTTCCAGGACAAATTGGGATTTCATTTGGTGGTAAATTATATCTCAGGATTTGTTTTTATTGTCAAAGGAAAACTGACCCAAAATAGGTTTTTTTTTATCCTGCCACTGACACCGATACTAATTTAAACATTAAAAATAAAAATCCTGACCCAAAAAAAAAATACTGACCATGACCATATCACTAACCTAAATCAAACCTTGATCTAGGTATTTTATTTATTAATTTCGAAAAGTGTCTGATGTGATTTTTATGGGCTTGCAGGACACAAACTGACATTGTTAGCTGGGCTTTTTTATCAGCCCATGGAGACCACTGTGAGAGGTCTGATTGGCAGAGCACTGTCCCATGCTCCTTCACAGCCAGAGGTATTAGGTATTTCCTTTGGTTCCCAATGCTGAACTGAGTGATGGGGAAGCAAAGGAAAAAAAAACTGTATGTTGCTGGGTTGGGGTGTTAAAAATAAACCTGTTCATTCGCCTTAAAATGGGGGCCATGGATGTCCCACAGTTTCTATATTCTGTGACAGATTTATGTGATCTACTTGGTATAATAATATATAAAAGATTCCTTCTGGTGTTCTGATTATTGCTCAAGAAATCTGTCTGGAAGCTTCTCTCAAGATGACCCATACGGTCTCTATAGACAGGATGGCAGTTGTCTGACACACTTTGCTAACCAATACCAGAAACTAGGAAGCCGCTGTGTTGATTATTTTTAACCAGTTTCTATTGTTTATTCAGAGATACGAAGATCTGCCCAGCACCAGCCTATGTTCTCTTCCATAATAATCCAAAGTAATTATAGAAACATCTTTCAAAAGAAAAATATTCTAGCAGCTACATACCACCTCCCCTCTAATGGGTGTGCCGAGCTGCAGAACCAGTAAAGCGCAGTCAGTTAGAAGCACTATTAAGCAGGAACAAGAGCAAATATGACTGTCCACATGCTTATACTCTGTATAAATTCAGGAAAAAGGTTTTCAAAAGTTAATAGACACTGAGATTATTTTTTGCAGTGAAAGGCATCAAATTTCCATGTAAACGTGTGGCTAGGTTATGGAAGTATTATTATTATTAACAAATAGTAAATTACCCTTTAAAACAGGCCCATGCTGACATCTGTATTTACAGTCACTTTTTTTTTTTTTTTTTAGATTCTTTAACAACTTGCCCTCCAGAGGATTTAGCCCCCTTTTTGACCAGGCCATTTTCTGCATTATGGCACTGCGTTACTTTAACTGACAATTGCGCGGTCATTCAACACTGCACCCAAATTAAATTTACGTCCTTTTTTCCCCCACAAATTAAGCTTTCTTTCTGTGGTCTAGATTTCCAACAATTTTGAGGAAAAAAAACAATATTTTTTACTTTTCACATGTCCAGTAAAAAAATCTTAGAATACATTTTGGCCTAAATTTATGGAGAAATTTGATTTCTTTTGCTATATGTCTTTGCTAAAAAAAAAAAGATCCCAATACGTGTAAATTAATTGGTTTATGTGAAAGTTATAGCGTTTACAAATGGCTGTATAGATACTGGGATTATTTTTTAATTTTTACTAGTAATGGCAGCGATCAGCAACTTATTGCAGGACTGCGGCGGGTATTTTGACATTGGGGGGGGACTGACTTGATGTCACTGACATCCCCAGTGACACCAATAGAGTGATCAGTGCTTTAAAAAAAAAAAAACAAAAAAAGCACTGACACTGTACAAATAGCACTGGGCAGGAATGGGTTAACATGAGGGGTGATCAAAGTGTTAACTGTGTGCAGTTCTCCTTCCCGTTGGAGATGCTTGGCAATCACTGGGCGGCGGCAAGCAATCACTGGACGAGACCCGGTGATTGACAGCCGTGGCCGGGAATGGCGGCAGAGGTAGGGCGCGCATGCACCTCCTACCCAGAAATGCAAAATCACGTATATATACACGTGATTTTGCGCACCCATGTCACCCTGTAGCAGTGTTTCTGCTATAGGACAGTCAGGAAGCAGTTAACCTCTTGCCGACTCGCTCACAGGAATTCTATTGCAGGCGGGCAGCGTGTATCATGTATATATACATGATCGTCGTTCTTCGGAGTTGTGATTGGACACAGCACAAGTTTGGCAGTTGATTTCAGACAATAATTGAAATCAGCTGATCTGCTGTGTCCAATCACACACAGAGTTGTGTGTTCACAAAAACAAAGTACTGTGTACAGGGAACAGCCAGATAGTAAAGTAAAAGCAGCACATATTACACATTGTTAGGCACACATTTAACTCTTTGATTGCCCCTAGATGTTAAACCCTTCCCAGCCAGTGTCATTAGTACAGTGACAGTGTATTAGTGCCACTACTGGTAATACTGTACAGAGACCAGTGCTGTCAGTATACCTCGCAGCCAGCACCAGACTGCCCACCACACTATCACAGTCCCACTAAAAATAGCATCATATCTGTGTAAATTCCAATGTATATATACCATAGTTTGTAGACACTATACCTTTCACACAAACCAATTAATATACACTTATTGGGATTTCTTTTTTTTTTACCAAAGATGTGGCAGAATGCATTTTGGCCTAATTTTCTGAAATTAGATTTTTTTTTTTTAATATGTTTTAAAGCAGAAGGTAGAAAATATCTTTTTTTCAACATTTTTGGTCTTTTTCCGTTTATACACTGCTCAAAAAACAAAAGGAACACTTTTTAATCAGAGTATAGCATCAAGTCAATTAAACGTCTGGGATATTGATCTGGTCAGTTAAGTAGCAGAGGGGGTTGGTAATCGTTTCAGCTGCTTTGGTGTTAATGAATTTAACAACAGGTGCACTAGAGGGGCAACAATGAGACAACCCCCAAAACAGGAATGGTTTTACAGGTGGAGAACACTGACAGTTCTTTCCCTACTCATCTTTTCTGACTGTTTTTCACTAGTCTTGCATTTGGCTAGGATGAGTGTCACTACTGGTAGCATGAAGCGATATCTGCACCCTAAAGAGGTTGCACAGGCAGTACAACTCCTCCAGGATGGCACATCAGCATGTGCCATTGCCAGAACAGTCTCAAAGGCATGGAGGAAATTCCAGTAGACAGGCTGTTACTCTAGAAGAGCTGGACAGGGCTGTAGAAAGTCCTTAATCCATCAGCAGGACCAGTATCTGCTGCTTTGTGCAAGGAGGAACAGGATGAGCACTGCCAGAGCCCTTCAAAATGACCTCCAGCAGGTGACTGGTGTGAATGTCTCTGACCAAACAATCAGAAACAGACTTCATGAGGGTGGCCTGAGAGCCCGACATCCTCTAGTGGACTCTGTGCTCACTGCCTGGCACCATAGAGCTGGATTGGCATTTGCCATTAAACACCAGAATTGGTAGGTCCGCCACTGGTGCCCAGTGCTTTTCACAGAGCAGGTTCACCCTGAGCACGTGACAGACGTGAAAAGGTCTGCAGAAGCTATGGAAAATGTTATGCTGCCTGTAACATCATTCACCATAACAGTTTTGGTGGTTGTCAGTGATGGTCTGGGGAGGCATATCCATGGAGGGACGCACAGACCTCTACAGGTTACACAATGGCACCCTGACTGGCATTAGGTTTCAGGATGAAATCCTTGGACCCATTGTCAGACCCTACGCTGGTGCAGTGGGTCATGGGTTCCTCCTGCTGCACAATAATGCCCAGCCTCATGTGGTGAGAGTATGTAGGCAGTTCCTGGAGGATAAAGGAATTGATACCTTTGACTGGCCCCCCACGCTTGCCTGACCTAATTCCAATAGAACGCCTCTGGGATATCATGTTTTGGTTCATCTGATGCCAGGTTGCACCTCAGACTGTCCAGGAGCTCAGTGATGCCCTGGTCCATATCTGGGAGGAAATTTCCCAGGACACCATTCTTCATCTCATTAGGAGCATGCCCTGACGTTGTCAGGCATGCATACAAGCACGTGGGGTCATACAAACTACTGAGTACCATTTTGAGTTGCTGCAATGAAATTTCATCAAAATGGACTAGCCTGCTGTATAATTTTTTCACTTTGAATTCAGTCCTCTGTAGGTTGATCATTTTTATTTCCATCAAAGACACCCAAAAAATCAAACAATGGGGCATCCTTACTTTCCTAACACATTACCCAGTCCATATCAGTATAGATATCCAGCATGATATTTTTCCCCATTGAGATCTGATGTGTTTTCAAAGTGTTCCTTTGTTGGAGCAGTGTATAATAAAAAAAAAAAAAAAAAAAAAAACAGTGGTGATCAAATACCACCAAAAGAAAGCTCTATTTGTGTGAAAAAATTATAAAATTTTCTTTGGGTACAGTGTTGCGTGACCGAGCAATTGCCAATTAAAGTAGCACAGTGCTAAATAGCAAAAAATGCTCTGGTCATGAAGGGGATAAAAGCTTCCGGAGATCAAGTGGTTAAAATTGACGCCAGAAGCATTTTCTCTGCAGCTTAGCTCCCTTTCCTCCAAGTAGTGAGAAAGTGACTAAGCAGTGCAGCTCCCCTCTCCCACTCAGTAGTGTCTCAGCAACTAACCATCCCACAAAGAATGACTCAGCAGCTCAGCTCCCCCTCCCAGCAATGACTCAGCAGCTCAGATCACCCTGATCCCCTATCCAGCAGTGACTCAGTAGCTCACCATGCTGCCCCACTCCTTCTGCTTCCTTATTATTATACAGGATTTATATAGCGCCAACAGTTTGCTCAGCGCTTTACAATATAAAGGGAGACAATACAGCAATGATGCGGTTCAATACAAGAGGGTTAGGAAGGCCCTGCTCCTTGGAGCTTACATCCTAAGAGGGAAGGGCTGGTGGCACAAAAGGTAATAACTGCGGGGGATGAACTGATAAGAGAAATACTGTAGAAGATTCAGTTATTAGCTGAAGACAGGATAGGGTTCCCTGAAGAGAGAGGTTTTCAGAGTTCACCTAAAAATGGGCAGAGTGATAGTCAGATGGATTGGGGTAAAGAGTTCCAGAGGATGGGGGAAGCTCTGGAGAAGTCCTGGAGACAAGCATGGGAGGAAGAGACAAGGAGCTAGAGAGCAGGAGGTCGTGGGAGGAGCGGAGAGAACAGTTTGGGTGATATTTGGAGAGAAGATTGGTGATGTAATTTGGGGCAGTTATAAATGGCTTTATACGTTATTGTTATGTTTTTTTATTCGTTGGGCAGTGGGAAGCCAGTGGAGGGAATGGCAGATATGGAACAGTTGGTAAGGTGGATGAGTCTGGCAGCAGCATTCATGATAGGCTGAAGAGGGGATAGCCTGCGATGAGGTAGACCAATAAGGAGAGAGTTACAAAAGTCAAGGCGAGAGATAACCATGGAGTGAATAAGGTGTCCGTTTATGAACCAGCGGTAATAGATCGCTGCTCAGTTCTCCGGCATTCTCGGAGAACACAGTTCTCCTGTGAATGCAGTTTATGAAGCAGTACTCCGAACGAAGGGAGAATGGTCTCCAAACGTTGGAGAACGGTCTACAAACTCTGGAAAACGGCTGATTTTACTATAATCTCGCGAGATTACAGTAAAAGATCAGTTTACTAAGCAGAGGTAAATTATCTCTGCTTAGTTTGCGGTCCCTCTGATTCTCCAGCTCTGGGCTGGAGAATCTGGAGGGAGAACACAGATCTCCAGTGAAGGGCTGACATGATCTCCTGAGTGTCAAACTGTGAATGACCAGAGAATAGCTGAGATCCGTTGAATCGCAGCTATTCTCTGTGTCATGAATGGACACCTAAATTGCTTAGTGATTTCAGTGATTAAAAACGGGCGTATCTTGGAGATGTTGCGGAGGTGAAGTCTACAAGATTTGGACAGCGATTGGATTTGGGACTGAAAGGACAGATGGGAGTCTAGGATTACACCTAGCACCCTGGCATGAGGGGAGGGAATGATGATTGTGTTATTGATCTTGATGGAGAATTCAGGGGAGGAGCACGGGCTGGGGGGAATACTAAGAGCTCCGTTTTAGAAAGGTTGAGTTTGAGGAAGTGGAGTGACATCCATACTGATATGTCACTTAGTAGGTTATTAATTTTATACAAAAGGGTAATAGAGATGATGTGATGGAGGTGACTCAAGTACAGTTCTTAGGTGGCGGTAGGGTAGGTAGGGTAGGATTCCAGACAAATAAATTAGTTTTGAAGGATCGTCTAAAGGCAGAACAAGTAGGAGACTAACCAGACATACTGAGGAAGGAAGTTCTACAGGATTGAAGAGGCTCTAGAGCAGCCCTGGATGCGAGTGTAGGAGGAGTTAACAAGGGAACTTGAGAGCAGGTCTTGAGAGGAGCGAAGAGGGGGCTAAAGGAGAGGTCAGAGTCTAGGATTACACCTAGCACCCTTGCATGTGTGGAGGGACCAATGGTTGTGCTGTTGATCTCAATGGCAAAGTCATGGGGAGGAGGAAATATTACAAGCTCAGTTTTAGAAAGATTGAGTTTGTGTGGCTCTGTGCTTTCTGCACCTCTCCTGCTAAATCTTTAATATTTCCCCACACTGTTTTTCTGCATGCAACCTGTGAATTAGTCAGTCCTGTGTGCACTCACCATTGCTTTGATCCAGGTACAGAGGGTTGGTGGCAGCTTGGCCAGAAGCTCCATTCCTTCCTTTGTCTGTGTGTGCAGTAGTGCATATGCCAGTCTCTGTCCACACAGGACCAGTAATTGGGATGCCAGCACCTCCTTATCCAGCACTTGTAGAATAGCCTAACAGAAACATCTATTACACACAAAGCAGCAACATAATGACACAAATCATATCTAAATGAGTAAGAGCTGTCAGTGGCTTCAGTACCCTCCCAGCATCCAATGACATTGAGGGGAACTACAGCCAAAAATAATAATAATAATAAAAAAAAAAGAATAGCTCCTTAAAAGATGAAATAAGAAAAACAGCTTTTGCAGCAATATTCACCTTTAATACAGAGATTTTCCCTGCAGTACTTATTTCTGCCACTAGTTGTCTGATGCCCACCATCATTATACCCATTGCCTCTGAGCCTGGTTGTCCTGGGTCTGACCAAGCAAAAGGAAAAGTGGCACAGTGATGAGCTCACCACTCTGTCACTCTGCTCTCTCCTCTTATCAACATGCTTATATATGTCAATACATGAACCAATTGGTTCCTTGTGCTGCTGTTCTCACTCCAACTGTGCTGTACAGAGGCTAATACCAGGATTATAATCTCCATTCCTGTTGCAGGTCAGGGACTTGATTGGGCTGATTTACTGGATAAATTGTGTAAATATTCACTTCAATTACCCAATCATGTGCAGATGAATTTAAAAGATATACAATTTTAAATTATTGGATGCAAATCAGCCTCAATATATAATTGCTGAAAATAGCCAGGTAACTAGCATTTTCAGCAGTTGGGAAAACCATCATATTTCTGACAGTACAGGCTTCCTTTAAACCTGTCATCTGTTTAGGCTTCCAGCAGATGTTAAATCTCCAGTACATGCTTTTACTGCTCATGTATTCTAGTAGCACTTACCTCCTCTGCCAGATGGTCAAAACCGTAGTTGTAGAGCTCACATACGTAGTGCCGTCTCAGGGTGTCTTCATTCACCTGAAGATGTGATGCCAGCTCCAAGGCAAGTGCTGGCCAGTCCACTGGATCACCCGGTACGTCTGCCATCACGTCTTCTGATTTCACTGTAATTTGTGACTGAAACTGAGCCTGGACAGCAGAACTGATCACCTTCATTAAGAACTGGAGAGACAGCAGAGGAATGGGACAGGTTAGAGCCAATAAGGAAAATTATGCACACAATTTACAAGCTGCGCCACCTCATGGTAAAAGCTGAAGCCGCATGAATTATTTTACCTCATTATCATTTGATTCTATTTATTTATTACAGGTACCATAACTCTCAAGGGTGTACAATTTAAGGTCCCTAAACGCACATTCATCCTTACACATACTAGGGCCAGTTTAGATAGGATCCAATTAACCTACCAGCATGTCCTTGGTGTGTGGTAGGAAACCGGAGTACATGGAGGAAACCCATACAGGCACAGAGAGAGAACATGCAAACAGGTGGTGCCGTGGTTGGGATTCGCACCAACGACCCTAGTACTGCCAGGCGTAAGTGCTAACCATTTACCTGCTTTGCTGCCCATTTCTTATCCATATATTATTATTTGTGAACTGAACATTTTTATGTTAAAATAAAAATATCACAGAGCACTTCAAGCAGCAAGAAGGACCTTAGTTGCAAGGTTCACCTCAGCAAAGTGCCCCCCTCTCATAAACACTGCATGAAAATACAAAAAAAACCTAGTGAGGGTAAAAAGTTGTATCATTTCCTTACATTTCCCCTTGCACCTAGACGACGGTGACATCATGCTCTTTCCAGCAAGATCTTGGGGAACACTGAGTCCCAAATATCGCAAGAAGACGAAACTGTGCTGCGCTGTGCTGCAATGTCTTAAGATTTGGCTACTTAACATTTCCCAGGATCTTGTCAGCAAGTGGATGGTGTCACCGCCTGAACTATGGGAGTCAGGTAAAGGGGAGTATATCATCTAATTATTTTTCCTTCCCATAGACTTTTTTTTCCCACTTTTATGCAGCATTTAAGGAATGGGGAGGGGGGTCACATAAGAAGACCTTGCCTGACGTGCAACTGGTAACTAGACAAATGGCTTAAAAGGGAATTAAACTCTAATTAAAAATATTATTGCAGAAGAGATATGCATTGTCTCTTCTGCAATAAACGAAATGTATCTGCCTGCTGACTGGCTTACGTAGAATGTACACTGAGCTGCACGTGCACAGCTCAGTATACATTCCTGCACAGTACCTGTGTGCTGGGATGACTGCGCTCCTGCACATCCATGGAAGAGATGTCATCCCACGCCGGCCAATGAAGATGGTTGAAAAGAAAAAGAAGCCAGAGAGAAGATGCCAGTGCCGCTGAGGGACCTTACAGGCATTGGACCATTGAAGCAAAGGTAAGTATCGAGTTTAGTTCTGCTTTAACCTCTCCCAGAATGTAATCCTTGACCTTACCCTGACACTTAACCCAACACATAGAAATACACCCTCAAAATCTTAACCTTAATTCTTAAAAGGGCCAATATGGCCAAATAAGGCAAGCAGCGCGCAAATGATTAGTTGCCCATAATGACTGTGGTCGCCCTGCACCTGCTTGCATCGCAGGTCCTTTGGTACAACTTCCTCTCCAGTAAAGAGAACAGTGAACAGCACAGTAGTGACATCTCAAAATCTTGTGAGACTAGCAGTCAGAAGCAGCAGTGCCTTAGATGATCTCACACTGCAGATATGCAGCTTTGAGGCTCAGAGTAGAAAGTATACTAGTATTCTTCAGATAATTTTCAATACAAAATCTGAGTCTTTCAGGGTACTGCTTCAGCACAGTTAACATTCCTAGATGTTCCCTTTAAGGCAGAAAAACTTCTCTGAGTTCAGCTCTACTTTAATTTTAACCTCTATCCACAATACTTAAAGTGGAAGTAAAGGCGAATCCCAACTAACTCTAAACCTACACTCAGCCACATTCTAAGCCTAATCTATCCACCCCTGTAATGAAAAAGAAAAAAAAAAAAAAAATCGCTATACTTCCCTATTCTGTTCCAGTCCCAGGCTGAGCTGTCAGCAGTGCCTTCAGTGTACAGGACAGGCAGCTAACAACAGAAGACCCATAGCAAGTATACAGGTGATGTCACTTCCCAAGCATTTCCCAGCCATTGTTGGCTTTCTCCTGCACACAGAGGGCACTGCTGGACACCGGACCGAAGCGGCTGCAGAACAGGTAAGTATAGTGAATTTTTCTTTACAGGTCTAGATAGATTAGGCTTAGAATGTGGCTGAGTGTAGGTTTAGAGTTAGTTAGGATTTGTCTTTACTTCCACTTTAAAGTACATTAACCCCTCAAAATCCATATCTACCTTGCAACTGTCAAAAACTACCAAGCTACCCTGATCAGTAAGATTCCATTCCGTGTGCTAAAAAGAAGCTGCAAAACCAAATGACTGATAATATGAGGCAGGAATAAGTCATGGATACCTGTTGTCGGAGGCTCACTATGCTGGGGTCCATGTCTCCACTCGGCAGTAGCTGAATTGAAGTGAGGTCTTTAAAGAAGGCATTTTTGCCCTGAATAAAATAGAGAAATGTACAATGTTACAACAGAAGTAATATCTCCATATACTTTCCTGCAGGATCTACTGCAACCAAGACACACAGAGCACTTCTCTGCTCAGATCCTTTTTTCCTGCCTCTTAAATGCGAACCTTGTATATTTTCAGTGTTACTGTAAAATGTACATGAAAGCAGCTTTTTAACCGGTTGTGAACAGTGGGACATACTACACCCCCCCCCCCCCCCCAAAAAAAAAAAAATCACTGAAGTATGCAGTATGTGTGTGCACCCTGTACATTTGCCCTACTGTGGCTCCCCTCACATTTACCAGAAATTGTACATATTACAGCAACTGTAACAGCTGCTACTGTCAATAAAGAACAGTCTGACCCAGTGTTTATAAACATTGTTCAGAACAGAGAGAGCTACAAAGTAACATATTTACTTTTGTAATCACTCTGTTTCATTCAGAGTAAGGCCCCCTTCATATTGACGGTCCGATTGGGTCCACCTTCCAGTTTTTCAGGCGTACCTGATCGGACCATCCATCGCGCTGTATGGAGCGGTGGATCAGATGACAGTTGGATAGAAATGGACAGGCTGTCTGTTTCCGTCTGAACGACCCATAGAGAACGGCAGGCTGTGTCTGTGTCCGCATGTTCAGCAGGGATCAGCGGAGAGATCCCCCACTGAGCAGACAGATCCCCTTGACAGAGTCCGCCTCGTCTGAAAGGAGTCTAAGGGATAAGCTTTGATCTGCATATGATATCAGTTAAATAAACCTCAGAAGAATTATTTAACCCCTTATTAACTGTTTTGGGGATTAGACAGAACCGAGGATCACAGTAAATACATATCCATTTCCATAATCTGGAATTTTCCTGATTCACTCTCTTTTGTATGAACAAAAAACATTTGACCTGGACAGAAAATAGCCTAATAACATTGGTTTTTGCCCCTATTTACACATAGGAAATGTACATGCAGTTTTATTAAAAGGAAATTTGCTTTCCCAAGATATATTCAGTATGTGAATGCAATCACACACTAAGAAACAACTCTGACAATCTGTCACTTACGCACGGCTCTACTACTACTCTTGGTGGCCGAATACCAGTGTGCGAAGGAAAGGTGAGCGTGTGCTGTTGGGGAGGGCTGCATTAAAGTGAATCTGCTGTTTTGCCTGTATAACAAAGTACAGATTGCCATTAATAAATAAGACCCAGTGTTCTTATATAGCCAATATGGGGAAAATATTCACTAAACAACGTTCATTGGTGATGTGTGAAGATAACATCAATAAGGGCAGAAGGGCACTAGCACTCACCTTACTGTCAAAGAGAGATAGAGGTTTAACAGACTTGAGTGAGAACTTCATGATGGCATACATGATGGCAGAGAGCACATACTGGTGTTCTACCAGCGGATAGTGAATGTGTTTCTGCTCCAGAGCCAATTCAACAATAGAGTTGGGACCCTCCACTGCCATCCAGGAGTCTTCTACCTCCAGCACCGGGGCCAACATCTCCTCACTGCTGACATCAGCCTGTACAGACCAACAAACACTCTGTAATAAGGCAGGATTGTGTACACACAAGAACAACAGCATCACAACAATGTACCTTTGTGTAAAAATAAAGTGTGTCTTCATATCAATGTATATATATATATATATATATATATATATATATATATATATAGACAAAATTATGGAAACACCAGGTAACAGAATAAAATCATTACCTAATATGGTGTTGGACTGCCTTTGGAATCAAAGATGGGCTGAATTCGCCTGGGAATTGCAAATACCTGTGAATTGCAAATATAAGTCTTGGATGGGGGAGAATGGAATCTGATACCACTCTTTATCCAAAAATCATTCCAGTTCTTGTAGATGCCAGAGGCAGAAAACAAGCCTGATCCTTGTTCTCCAAAATTGGCCAGAGTGGCTCTATGATACTGAGATCTAGTGACTGCAGTGCCCAGGGAAGGTGCGAGACTTCAGCTGTATGTTTGTCAAACCACGACTTGACAACACAACACCAGCTGTGTGAATAGAAGCATTATCATCTTGGTAAATGGGGAAACAATGTATGCACCATGGGGTGCAAATGACCAAAATTGTACATAGTCATTGGCAGTGTTCTACCTTTCAAGGTGATGCAGAATACCAAGATATGGCTGCTAAAACCATGATTGCACCACCACCATGCTTTATCGTTGGCACAAGACAGTCCTGGCTGCAAGCTTGGGATGGTGTTTGCCACTCATAAACACGTCTTGTGGTTGGGATCAGTGTGAAGCTTGATTCATCGGACCATACTATAGTCTTCCATTGATCGATAGTCCACGATTTATGGGTGTTGCACCACTCTCTCTTTTTCTAAGCATTAATATTGGTCACTAGTAGCTTGGCAATTGGAGCTCACCCATGAATGTTTTGCCTATGGAATTCTCTCTGCACAGATTTTGTGGACAAAGGCTTTGGAAGATTGAGATTGAGCTCTTCAGTCACTTTTTCAGCAGTTGTTTTCTGATTCCGGGTCACAGTCCTGTGCAATGTCTTTTTGTCTCTTTCGATCAGTTAACTGTACTCATGCTTATCAGACGATGTTTTCCTAAAAACTGTATATGCCGTCACAACCTTTGATACTGTACCTCATGAAATGGCAAATTAATTGGCAACTTCAGTCGCAGTGGCACCAGCTAAGCGGCACCAACAATTTGCCGTCTTTTGAAGCTCAGTAAGTTCTGACATGACTCTGTATTACTAGCAGCGCACACAGTGAATGAGGAAAGTGAGGCTTCCCACCTGTCAGCTAAGTTTTCACTTTCACACCTGCAAACCATGTAGTGTTTCCATTTTTTGTCAAAGCCGTGTGTGTGTATATACAGTTGTGTTCAATATAATAGCAGTCAGACATCACTAACCTAATCAATCACTGTTTTTGGTAAATGTTGTACATGCTGGTTACAGTGCATTTCTCTCTGAAATTCTGAGGAAAATGGGTTGTTCCAGACATTATTCAGAAGAACAGCGTATCTTGATTAAAAAGTTGATTGGAGAGGGGAAAACATATAAAGAAGTGCAGAAAATGATAGGCTGCTCAGCTAAAATGATCGCAAATGCTTTAAAATGGCAACCAAAACCTGAAAGACGTGGAAGAAAGCGAAAAACTACCATTTGAATGGATAGAAAAATAGCCAAAATGGCAAGGACTCAGCCAACAATCAGCTCCAGGAAGATCAAAGAAGGTCTAAAGTTCCCTGTGAGTACTGTTACAATTAGAAGATGCCTATGTGAAGCCAAGCTACCTGCAAGAAGCCCCCGCAAAGTCCCACTGTTGAAAAAAAGACGTGCTGAAGAAGTTACAATTTGCCAAAGAGCACATTGACTGGCCTAAAGAGAAATGGCACAACATTTTGTGGACTGATGAAAGTAAGATTGTTCTTTTTGGGTCTAGTGGCCGGAGACAGTTTGTCAGACAACCCCCAAACACTGAATTCAAGCCACAGTACACTGTGAAGACAGTGAAGCATGGTTGCGCAAGCATCATGATATGGGGATGTTTCTCATACTACGGTGTTGGGCCTATTTATCGCATACCAGGGATCATGGATCAGTTTGAATACATCAGAATACTTGAAGAGGTCATGCTGCCTTATGCTGAAGAGGAAATGCCCTTGAAATGGGTGTTCCAACAAGACAACGACCCCAAACACACCAGTAAACGTGCAACATCTTGGTTCCAGACCAACAAGATTGACGTTATGGAGTGGCCAGCCCAATCCCCGGATCTTAATCCAATAGAAAATTTGTGGGGTGACATAAAAAAAATGCAGATTCTGAGGCAAAACCAAGAAATAGAGAAGAACTGTGGAATGTAGCCCAATCATCCTGGGCTGGAATACCTGATCACAGGGGCCAGAAGTTGGTTGACTCCATGCAACACAGATGTACAGCAGTTCTCAGAAACAGTGCGACTACAACTAAATATTCATTAAGTGATTCAAAGGAAAGCAAAATCTTCAAACATTTTTCAGTTTATATAGTGAATGTTTGAGTTTGTAAAGAAGAATACAAACACTGCTATTTTTTTTAACAGTCTAATATTCACTTTTCTTCAATTTTTTAGAGGAACAACATACATTTGATATATTTTTCTTCATGTTTTGATTTGGAATAGAATGTGTAGTGTTCCCAATGCATTTGTGTGTATGGAAATAAAAGCTATTAGAAGGATTATGAGCTTTATTCACTTTTTTCAACACACTGCTATTATTTTGAACACAACTGTAAGTATTCACAGCCTTTGCTCAATACTTTGCTGAAGCACCTTCAGCACCAATTACAGCTGCAAGTCGTTTTGAGTATGATGCTACAAGCTTGGCAAACCTATTTTTGGGCAATTTCTCCCATTCTTCTTTGCAGTTCACTTTTTTCAACACACTGCTATATATGGTGTGTGTGTATATATATATATATATATATATATATATATATATATATATATATATATATATATATATATATACACACACATACATACACACACAGTGCTCAGCATAAATGAGTACACCTCTTTTGAAAAGTAAGATTTTAATCAATAACTCAATGAGCACAAGAACAATTTCCAAAATTTTGACAAAACTGAGTTTTATAGAACATTTGTTTAGCTCATTACATGAAAGTAAGCTTAATAATATAACTTGGATTACAACATCTTCAGTTTTACTCAAATTAGTTGATGCAAAAATGAATACACCCCACAACAAAAATTGCTACATCTAGTACTTTTTATGACCTCCATGATTTGTAAGGACAGTACCAAGTCTAGGCATGGATTGAACAAGTTGGGGACATATTGCAACATCGATCTTTTTCCATTCTTCAAGAACGACCTCTTTTAGAGCCTCGATGCTGGATGGAGAGTGATGCTCAACTTGTCTCTTCAGAATTCCCCATAGGTGTTTGTTTGGGTTCAGATCAGGAGACATACTTGGCCACCGAATCACTTGCACCCTGTTCTTCAGAAATGCAACAGTGGCCTTAGATGTGTGTTTTGGATCATTGTCATGTTGTCATGTTGGAAAAGTGCACGACGGCCAAGGGCACGGAGTGATGGTAGCATCTTCTCTTTCAATATAGAGCAGTACATCTGTGAATTCATGATACCATCAATGAAATGCAGCTCCCCGACACCAGCAGCAGTCATGCAGCCCCACAGAAGGACATTGTCACCACCATGTTTCACTGTAGGCACCATGCAAGTTTCTTTGTACTCCTCACCTTTGTGACCCCATACAGTTTTGAAGCCATCAGTTCCAAAAACATTTATCTTGGTCTCATCACACCAGAGTACAGAGTCCCAGTAGTCTTCTTCTTTTTTAGCATGGGCCCTGGATAATTCTAGGTGGGCTTTTTTGTGCATGGGCTTTAGGAGAGGCTTCCTTCGTGGATGACACCCATGCATGCCATTCCTCTTCAGTGTGAGCTGTATTGTGTCACAGGAAACTATCACCTCAGTTTGGCTTTCTACTTCTTTAGCTAACTGCAGTGAACTTGCATGGCGATTTTCTCCAACCCTTCTCACCAGAAAACGCTCCTGTCGAGGTGTTAACCTCTATGGACAGCCTGGAGGTCTCTGTGAGAGGGTTGCAGTTTCATCTTTGTTACATTCATTCATCACGTTTGCTACAGTATTCTGACTGATAAGTAAAGCTTTGCTAATCTTCTTGTAGCCTTCACCTTCCTTGTGTAAAAAAATTATTTTCCGATCGCAACCTTTCTGTGAGTACTGGACGCGCGCGCGCGCGCGCTCTCAGCACGTCTTTTTTAAACAGAACGCAAATGTGCAGCCGCTCTGCGTCTACCCCCAGACGGTGAGAAGGCCGAACACTTGCGTTTGGCCAGCGTGAAGAGGTTAAGTATCGCCATTTTATAATCAACTGTCTGTTGGACACCTGTTTAATGAATAATTAGACTCACCTGTAGTTGACTTTTTGTTAGTTAGGATTTTGTTGTCTAAAATTTAGCTTTGCTCCTAAGACTTTCATTGGGGTGTATTCATTTTTGCAGCATGGTCTTAAATGATTTGTATTTCTGTCTCTTCAGTCCTGAGATTTACACAGCTCTTCCGCACAGCACAGTCCTGTCTAGCAGGGAAGAGGACTTCATTTGTCTGTGCTGCTGTAAACAACTTAAAAGTTTGCAGGTGAAAACAGAAAATCAAGTATTTTAAATGTTTACCTGCAGGGTTTTTCCTTTCCATAAATGGTTGTATAATCACTTGCATTATGCCTTGCATGTCATAGCCTTCTCCTATTCAGGAAGTGTCCAATTATTCTCTGTGCTGACCCAGCTCCTCTGCCCCTCCCCTCATAACCTTTTATGTGGCTGCTATCGGAAGGGCGAAAGGAAATATAAAGTGTGTCACTTGAGTGACAGCTCCGAGTCTGCAGGGACTGGTGGTATCACATCCAAGATGGTAGTACCCAGCAGCAGTTTCAGGGTTTTTAAAGTCCACACAAATGAGGATATTTTACAGATAAATAACATACTATACATACAATACATATGACCTTAAGGTAAGATTGTTGTTAAAATGAACAGTCTGCTGACAGTCTCTTTAAGCATCTCTGTATTTGATGCTAATTCTTAAACCACCTAATCAAAAGATGATCTTTAGAAATAAACATGAAAGAGCAGAATTGTCAGGATTACCTCCATCATTGTTTGCAGAAGATCAGAGCAGCTTTCCAGGAAGGCGGTCATAGAGGTGTCACTCATACCAACATCCTGTAATGAGGGGGATAGAACAAGTTAAAATGGTTTCAGGCTACATTCGCACGGGCAACTAGCCCCGATACAAATAACAGTGGCAGAAATCTGCTAATTCCTGCCATGTGTGGGCAACTAGCTGTGACTGCAGAGCCCTGTATAATTCAATGACAGGTCACCAGTGGCTGCAGCTGTCTTTTGACAGTGTACAGCCAGCGGTGATTGCTGTTGGACACACTGTGTTTCATTGTAAGTAATCACTGGCTGTGCAGGCTCTGCTGTACAGGAACTGCAAGATGCTGATGCAGGGACATTTTCCTTAAATCCCTTGCTTGAAAAAACACACACGCATGCACACATAAAAGTATTAACAGCGCTTAACTTTTGCAACATTTTGTCATATTACAGCCTTATTCAAAAATGGATTAAATTAATTTTTTTACTCAACATTCTACAAACTGCCCCATAATGACAACGTGAAAGAAGTTCGTTTCGAAATCTTTGCAATTTATTTAAAAATAAAAAAAAACACATGTACATAAGTATTCACAGCTTTTCACAGTGCATGTCAGAGCACAAACCAAGCCATGAAATCCGAGGAATTGTCCGCAGACCTCCGAGACAGGATTGTATCAAGGCACAGATCTGGGGAGGGGTACATAAAAATTTCTGAAGGTCCCAACGAGCACAGTGGCCTCCATCATCTGTAGATGGAAGACGTTTGGAACCACTAGGAATCTTCCTAGAGCAGGTTGCCCAGCCAAAATGAGCGATCAAGAGAGAAGGGCCTTAGCCAGGGAGGTAACCAAGCACCCAATGGTCATTTTGAAAGATCTCCAGCGTTTCTCTGTGTAGAGAGGAGAACCTTCCAGAAGAACAACCATCTCTGCAGCACTCCACCAATCAGGCCTGTATGGTAGAGTGGCCAGAAGGAACCACTCCTCAGTAAAAGGCAAATGGCAGCCTGCCTGGAGTTTGCCAAAAGGCACCTGAGGGACTCTCAGACCATGAGAAACAAAACTCTCTAGTCTGATAAAACAAAGATTGAACTTTTTGGCCTGAATACCAAGCGTCATGTCTGGAGCAAACCAGGCACCGCTCACCACCTGGCCAATACCATCCCTACAGTGAAGCATGGTGGTGGCAGCGTCATGCTGTGGGGATGTTTTTCAGCGGCAGGAACTGGTAGACTAGTCAGGATCGAAGGAAAGATATATGCAGCAATGTACAGAGACATCCTTGATGAAAACCTATTCCAGAGCGCTCTGGACCTTAGACTGGGGTGATGGTTCATCTTTCAACAGGACAACGACCCTAAGCACACAGCCCACATAACAAAGGAGTGGCTACAGGCCAACTCTGTGAATGTCCTGGAGTGGCCCAGCCAGATCCCAGACTTGAACCTGATTGAACATCTCTGGAGAGATCTGAAAATGGCTGTGAACCGACGCTCCCGATCCAACCTGATGGAGCTTGAGAGGTACTGCAAAGAATGGGGAGAAATTGCCCAAAAATAGGTTTGCCAAGCTTGCAGCATCATACTCAAAACTACTTGCAGCTGTAATTGGTGCTAAAGGTGCTTCAGCAAAGTATTGAGCAAAGGCTGTGAATACTTACAGTTGTGTTTAAAATAATAGCATCGAGTTGAAAAAAGTGAATAAAGCTCATAATCCTTCTAATAGCTTTTATTTCCATACACACAAATGCATTGGGAACACTACACATTCTATTCCAAATCAAAACATGAAGAAAAATATATAAAATTTTTGTTGTTCCTCTAAAAAAATTGAAGAAAAGTGAACATTAGACTGTTCAAAAAAATAGCAGTGTTTGTATTCTTCTTTACAAACTCAAACATTCACTATATAAACTGAAAAATGTTTGAAGATTTTGCTTTCCTTTGAATCACTTAATGAATATTTAGTTGTAGTCGCACTGTTTCTGAGAACTGCTGTACATCTGTGTTGCATGGAGTCAACCAACTTCTGGCACCTGTGAACAGGTATTCCAGCCCAGGATGATTGGACTACATTCCACAGTCCTTCTCTATTTCTTGGTTTTGCCTCAGAAACTGCATTTTTTTTATGTCACCCCACAAGTTTTCTATTGGATTAAGATCCGGGGATTGGGCTGGCCACTCCATAACATCAATCTTGTTGGTCTGGAACCAAGACGTTGCACGTTTACTGGTGTGTTTGCGGTCGTTGTCTTGTTGGAACACCCATTTCAAGGGCATTTCCTCTTCAGCATAAGGCAGCATGACCTCTTCAAGTATTCTGATGTATTCAAACTGATCCATGATCCCTGGTATGCGATAAATAGGCCCAACACCGTAGTATGAGAAACATCCCCATATCATGATGCTTGCGCAACCATGCTTCACTGTCTTCACAGTGTACTGTGGCTTGAATTCAGTGTTTGGGGGTCGTCTGACAAACTGTCTCCGGCCACTAGACCCCAAAAAGAACAATCTTACTTTCATCAGTCCACAAAATGTTGCGCCATTTCTCTTTAGGCCAGTCAATGTGCTCTTTGGCAAATTGTAACCTCTTCAGCACATCTTTTTTTCAACAGTGGGACTTTGCGGGGGCTTCTTGCAGATAGCTTGGCTTCACATAGGCGTCTTCTAATTGTAACAGTACTCACAGGGAACTTTAGACCTTCTTTGATCTTCCTGGAGCTGATTGTTGGCTGAGTCCTTGCCATTTTGGCTATTCTTCTATCCATTCGAATGGTAGTTTTTCGCTTTCTTCCACGTCTTTCAGGTTTTGGTTGCCATTTTAAAGCATTTGCGATCATTTTAGCTGAGCAGCCTATCATTTTCTGCACTTCTTTATATGTTTTCCCCTCTCCAATCAACTTTTTAATCAAGGTACGCTGTTCTTCTGAACAATGTCTGGAACGACCCATTTTCCTCAGAATTTCAGAGAGAAATGCACTGTAACCAGCATGTCCAACATTTGCTGCCTTCCTTCCTTAAATAAGGGCAATAATTACCACCTGTTTTTCAAAGAATGAATGACCTCACTAATAGAACTCCACACTGCTATTATTTTGAACACGCCCCTTTCAATTAGTGATTCAATTACACAGAATCAGCAGCATGCATGTCATGACTGTTGGGTCTGTTGGATTTCTATTACTCTACTACACCTGCTAGTAAATTATTTGTCATGTAGAAATATCATTTCTACCAAAAACAGTGACTGATCAGGTTAGTGATGTCTGACTGCTATTATTTTGAAAAAACAACTGTATGTACATGGGTTTTTATTCGTTTTTTATTTTTAATAAATTGCAAAGATTTCAAAACAAACTTCTTTCATGTTGTCATTATGGGGTATTGTTTGTAGAATGTTGAGGAAAAAAATTAATTTAATCCATTTTAGAATAAGGCTGTAACATAACAAAATGTGGCAAAAGTTAAGCACTGTGAATACTTTCTGGATGCACTGTATAATGACACTATATATATATATATATATATATATATATATACATTCACACACACAGTGTGTATGTATATATATATATATATATATATATATATATATATATATATATATATATATATATATATATATATATATATATATATAATGATGTAGTGATAAATGCAGAGTTGCCCTGATTTGTGCCTTTTATATCTGCAGATCAACCGTTCTTGCAAGCGATACTGCATTGTACACTATTACATCATTCCTTTATCAATAATCAGGACGTACCCTCCTGCACAGACGGTCCTTTGGAGCTTTCCCAACCTAAAAAAGGAGACAAATGTTACACGCTTTATGTTGAATCTGCAGGAGAACACACACAGAATTTTTTTAGAATTTTACTCTATGCAGAATATTATGTGAACTGCACTGATAATCAGTATAGCATAATGCAGATCTGACAATGCTAACTCACCTTATCTATGAGATATGCAGCTGATGAAAAACGTTTTATAATGAACGTGCTCCACATCATCAGAGACAGCCCTAGAATTACACAGACATACCAATATCAGCGGCTATTATTTATTTTATAACAATTATGTTTTCTATTCCCTAATTTATACTTAAAGTGGCTGTAAACCCTTAAATATACCCAGTACAGTAGTCTCTACATCCATTCAAAGTGCTGAATTTATAGAGTTGGTCAGAGTTCAGAAAAAGGGGCGGATAGCTAAAGTTACACTCTGCAGAGCTCAATGAGGAGAGTTCTGAGAGCTGCCTGGAGGGAAGAGATACCCCCCTCCACATAGCTCACAGCAACACAGCTGCGACTGTCAATCTGCTGGAGGTTCCTCCCCTGTCATTATATTTCTCTTGGTGTCAGGAAAACTTATTAGAACTGATTCATGCTGATAGCAGAGGAATGAAGCAGTGGACAGTAATGACACTTAAACACTTCACGTCCAGCCGTTGTATATAAACGGCCGGACGGTGGCAGTGCAGGGGCGGGTGGCCCTCCAGACACCGTGGAACACCAATCGTTGTACGGGACCTCTGTGCAAGGTCCCGATAATGTGATCACTGATTGGCCAATCAGTGATCACATGAAGAGTAGTAAGTAAGATGTCACTTCTGACATCATTGCTTACTACGTGTGAAATCTGTGAATGATCACAAAGGTCAAATGGTACATGGCTATTCACAACAGCCTTGTAACTTGTGACAAGCTGTGACCAATCACAGCTCACACAGTATTTCTCAATGGCTGCAAGAATGCAGCCAGAGACAAGGAGAAATGATTGCGTTTACAACATTTATGGGTGTAAAAGCAATCAGTGTAAAAAAAAAAAAAAAATCTTCATAACCCCCCACAAGTATTACAGTGACTCCATGGTGACACTGTACTGCTTGGGTGACAGTATATAAAAAAAACAAAACATAAATAATATAAAAATATAAAATAAAAATGTAAACTTTTTTAAAAAATTATAAGTTTTGGTTATAAACTAATTTGGGTTATTTTTTTTTCTAAAAAGAACTGAATCAATTTTGGCCAAGATTTATGAAGAAAGATTATTTGCAAAATTTTATAAGAAAAACACTTTTTTCAAAATATTAGGACTTTTTCATTTAAATAGCAAAAAAAATAAAAATCCCAGTGGTGAATAAATGCCACCAAAATAAAGCTTTATCGGTCTCAAAAAATGCTAAAAAATTCATAGGGGTACAGTGTTGCATGACCGTGCAATTGTCATTCAAAGTGTGATAGCACTGAAAGCTGAAAATTGGCCTGGACAGGAAGGGGGTGAAAGTGTCCGGACTTGAAGTGGTTAATGCTCTTAATAGAGACAAGTACACACTACAGAGGGATAAGCTTTGTTCATATTTTATGTCTGAGATTAACAACCACTTTAACACATTCCTGTCCGGCCCCTTAGCAGATTGACAGCCTGGTGGTACACTCGCTGTTGTGACTGGGCATCATATGACGTCCTGTCAAAACGAGCCGCTCAGGTGGCCACACAGCGGCGCGATCTGTCACAGCTGATGACATATCACTACACCGGCCCATTGCCAGTGTCATGTGACCGCTATGACCAATCACAGCAGATCACATCAATTGTATACAATGGATGGCTTCCCGTCATGCCATCCATTGTATACAATTATGCTGTTAACTGTGACTGGTCAAGGCAGTCACATGATAGAGACCGGGCCAATCACAGCTCATCTGTATCATGTGATCAGCTTTGCCCAATCACAGCTAATCACAACAAAAGGCTGAATGAATCAGTTTCATTCAGTAACGGTTGCAAATATCAATGAAATACATTGGTATTAGCAATCATAATGTGTTAAAAAAAAAAAAATCCTGATCACTTGCCCAGAGTCGTTCAATGTTAAAGGTAACATTGTATTGCTTTGATCACAGTGTGCTGAAAAATAGTAAAAAAAAAAAAAAAAAAATTTAATAAAAAATAATAAAAACATTTGATAAAAAAAAATTTAATTATTATTATTATTATCTTCACTAGAGAAATGTAGCAGAACACATTTTGACTTAAATTCATGCAGAAATTTTATTTATTTGCAAAATTTTATAGCAGAAATGAAGAAAAGTGTTTTTTCAAAATGTTTTTTGTGTTACTTAGCAAAAAATAAAAAACTCAGTGGTGATTAAATACCACCAAAAGAAATCTCTATTTGTGTGAAAACAATGATAAAAAGTTCATATGGGTACAGTGTTGCATGACCGCGCAATTGTCATTCAAAGTGAGACAGCGCTGAAAGCTGAAAATTGGCCTGGGCAGGAAGGGGGTATAAGTGTCCGGTATTAAAGTGGTTAAAGAAGATTTCCCCCCTACCTATGCAAAGCTAAATGAAGCCTCTTTAATAAGTGTCCCTGTATGATACATGCAAAAATAATGCATGGAGTCCATCACTGTCTTCCTTGCAGCTAAAGTTCTCTTTGTACCGCTCTTCTTCCACGCTTCCATGTTCAATCTCCTCTCATCAGAAGTAGGGATGAGCCTGGGTTCAGTCATTATTGGTCACAAGCATCCCTACCCCTTGGTGCGTGTGCAGCTGCAAGGCGGGGAATCCTCCACCCAAAGCTCACTGGCCTGGTACTGAAAGCTGCCTTTCAGGTTAGGATTGAGCCCAAGCTCACCACCAATCAGGAGCAAGCTATTGCATCCCAATTTTCAGGGCCATGGGATCACACGCATGTACAGTCTCCCTTCTGAGACCCTAAATACTTCAATCTAGCCCAGGATGAAAATAGTACAATACTTCCTACCTTACTGAAACAATGTTTGTAAGGCTGCAAATGGCTGCTCACTACATCATCATTGCCTAGGCAAAGAATCCGGTAGTGGTGGGCCGTACCATTATAAGGAAAAAAAAAAAAGGTAATTACAATGACAAACATGGAACGTATCTTTGACTGTGTGAGGGAGAAGAGGAGGAAGCACAGAACTTGAACTTGAAATAAGTGTCAAGGATATGATAGAAATTAAACAGGACATTTCTGATATTAATTGGGACAATTACATTTTTATCTGATTAAGATGCAGTCTTAATGAAATACGACATGAAAGGATTATTTCATTACACAATAACAAAAATTAATAGTATTGCAGCTTACCTGTCATTAGATGTGGTGGCTGTGTTAGTTTTCATTTTTTCACACATTTTCCCTTTATTTTAATCTGGTAATCATGTAATTAACACACTTCTTCCCCTAGGGCGACAACCCTACTGAGCAGCATTGCCCTCTAAGACAGGAGGGTTGTTAGGACTACATAACACCTCCTCCTCTTCTCCATATCAGGAAGAGGTGTTTTGTAGTCCATTGATGGGGACATTGCGTATTACATATTTCCTTATTAATATTGTGGCCCACTAACGTCTCCAAGCTTTGGTTAAGGGGCTATACAAGGACAAAGTATGATTACCTTAAATGACTCATACCAAAGGAATGTGACTATAATGACAAGTCAGCCCACTCTCCTTTCAGGACTGTGCCATTTCCTTAGAAGGTCATTTTGCTTGCAGTAGGGGTTGACCATTTCCTTACATTCAAGTTCTATATTACCACAGCCAAAACTAGTAAGATCTTAGTCCCATCTTCAGAGCTTGCTATCATGCATGTATCTGTGATCACCTGTGTGTCACGCTGTGTGAAAGTGGGGGGATTCTGTGGTGAAACAGCATCTTTAGTTAAGTACTCTTATTATATTTTCTAATAATATTTGTCATTACTTTTATTAAATGTTATACTTAAAAGTATTTGTGTGATCTCTCTTTGCACATATCAAATACAGCCCCAAAACGTAATGGAACATTCGTGGAAAGAGCCAGGAACAATACAAACCGATAACAGTCCAGAGGCAGTGAGCACAGGAAGTTCAGCTTATTCCATTTTCGGCTGGATAACCAGCTAGATTTCTTATTTTGCACTTGTTGAACAGATATATAAACTGCTTTTAAGGGAATGTTTAACCCAAAAAATGGGAGCGAATAAGAGAAATGTATTGTTTGCGTTTACATACACCTTAATGCCTTCATTAAAGTGTAACTAAACCCAAGAACAAAAGTGTAATATAATGCTGCTTACCAGTCTGTAAATATTGTGGCTGCATTCGTTTTTTTTCTCAGGCTTTTCCCTTTATTTTCATCTGGTGATCCTGCCAGTAACACAATTTCTATCCTCGGGTGACAACACTCACTCACTGTACAGTATAATGAGAACAGAAACCGAACAAGACTACAGAAGCTTCCCCCAATCCTCTTTTCCAGAGGAGGGGTTGTGTAGTCAACAGGTATAGCTGGAAACAAAGTAACTGATAACAGTCAGCACAGGTAGAAAGCACAGAAAGTTATCAGCTCACATTTTCTGGCAGAATCAACAGATATTTTTTTGCACGTATAACAAAACACTTTTGATGGTTTTTTTTAACAGACTAAAAAGGACAGCTAAGATAAGTTCACTGTTAGGGCTTACATACACTTCATCACAGAATTGCATTTGTTTGCTGTCTTGGGCATTCTGTTAGATGATTACAATATTATTTGTGTAAATAAATACTAGAATAACTATTCAGTCACTCCTAACTGAGGGGTTTTGTATATTTACATACCAAACTGGACATGTGCATTGCCAATTCTCTTCAAATGGTCCACAGACTGGAGCAGAAACTGAGCTTCCTGCAGAAAGAGAATGCACCCATAAAACATATACATAAAGTGGGCCATCTGCACCCTGGACAAAGAGTTTGTACTATAGATCCCTCCCTTCTAAACACTGCCACCCACACCCCATTTAAAACTGAACTCCAGCCAAACAGCTACATACACAGACAATATGCATATATGTGAGTTGCTTTACCTGTCAAAGGATTGACAGGTTCTCCTGTCAAAGGAGCCTCTCAGTGTGCAACAGAAAGCTAGGAGGGCACTCTTTCCATCCCAGACTGAATATGCTTGGCTCAACATTTTCATTCATTGGTTTTCATTTCTATCAATCATGGAGGTTCAGTATCACATGTGTTCATTACATAGGGCAGTCTTCAAGTAATTGCAGCTAGCCTAGAAATGTTCACTCTTTCAGACGGACATCCACCCATTAAGGCATTCTAACATTTTCAAAACATTCCCAAGAGCCAGCCCAATGCTTGTATCAGGATTGAGGGCTCTTGGGAGGACTAAGTGAAACAAAAAAAAAGTGCATTTAAAGAAAGTGAATAAAAAATATACTCACTTTGGAAGGGAGTCCCTTCTTCATTGAGCTCTGATGAAGAAGGGACTCCCTTCAAAACGCGTCAGTCTGACTTTGAGTCTTCCCTCATGATAAGACTCGCGGTGGTCTCACACTCCTAAAGTTTTGTTGAGGCTCTTATACGCTTGTTATACTTCTCTGTTTGTGGGTATATTTTTAAATTCAATAAAATCACATTTTACTGAGGTAATGCGCAAGGTTGGTGCGCTTTCTTTTTGTTTCACTTACAGTACTGGTCGGGCTTCCCCAGCCTTGTTTAGAACCGCATGCATTGGTGGGGAATTTCTACAAGTTCCATTTCCATCCATCCACCCTTGCTCTGGGTCATAGAGCGCAGGAGGTCTTGTTTTTGTTTCCACTGGCTCTTGGGAGGAGTACTGAGGCTGGAAGCTGTGATGTTGTCAGAAAGCAAAGTACAGCACCCCGCTGGCCTCTTCTACCAGTCATGATCTGCCTACTCTGCACAGAGAAGCACAGGGACCCAGGGACTACATCATTGGAGCTAAGGTCAAAATATGGTACATAACAACAAAGAAAAGGTTTTCTTTAAACTTTTCATTAGTATGTTGATTCAGGGCCAGTTCATACTACATGCATTACAGTGTGATTTTTTTCGGCATTCAAAATGCACAGAAAGTAGGTTATATGGTTGTCAATGTCATAGTTCACATCAGTGCTTGCAGTTCCAGTGCGTTCCAGTTGCAGAAAAAAAAAAATTAAACAGGCTGCATTTTTCCTGCACAAAACTGTACTGGAACGCAGTAAACCGCATAAAAAACACACCAGAACGCAGAAAAACGCACATGTCCCTATTTAAATTGAAGAAAAAGAGGGGGAAAAAATGATTCGGAAAGCATCAAAAAATGCGTAAAAAATGCACATGCAGAAACGCATCTGGACTGCATTTCTATGGTGTGAACTGGCCCTTAAGGGGGAGGGGGACAAGGAAGGCAAACTATAAGAAAATTAAACTTCAGCTTTACATATATACATACACATGAGCACTGTTTACCTGTCAAAGGACAAATCATTCTTGAAAGCCAGTTTTACCAACCAGACAACGCAGTCAGATTGTTTAAAAATAAAGTTTAGTCAAGGACTCATTCCCTCCTTGCCTGCTGATTGGACAGTGAAGAAATAGAAGCACACTGATGAAGTCAACACTCTACTCTTGCTGTCACAGGATCATGGTGTACGACTGGCAGCATAGTAGAATGCAGTAAAGCTGGATTGGCTCTCCCTGCTGGAAGAACAGTACAACCACCAACCTCATCCACAGTACTGTCACATATAGAGACCATGTAGTGGGTATTATTAAAGGGTGGAGCATGTTTTCCCACATACCTCTCGCAAATCTCTGCTTGTAATTTTACTCTGCAGTTACACTGCTTGTCAATAGCTAATTCTTATAAAAAGAATACATGGAAATATTTCAGAAAAAAAAAATCACAAATCTATCTGCACTACATGGTGCATTTTAATACAGCTTTAAATTGTGTTTTTTAATCTGTGACTGGAGTTCAGATTTATTTAGCATAATAAACTGTAATAATTAACTACATGCAAAGATTTAACATTTGTTTGACTGTTATGTTGCACAATATCATCCTGCAGCCCCTTGTCATCGCTGTGCCATAGGCACCTGCCCCTGTCTAGGCCTCTGCCTGCTGACAATATGACACAGCAGAGTACATGCAGTCAATTATGGAGTATCTTATGCTAAGTCCCCTCTCAAACTGCAATACTCATTTACAAAGACGCTGCACAGTTCCCATGATGTGGCTGATACAGACAGCATAGATATTCCAACACAACAGATGCCGGGACACATTTCCATGATTTACATTTAGCACACAGGTTTTTACCTCTGGATCCTTGTTCCACTGCACCACGTACTCCCAGCAGCAGTGAGCATGTAACACGTCTAAATCAAGGCTACATGGAAAATGCTGGTAGACCAAACTCAGCACTTCTAACACTGAAAAAAAGGAAACAAATCAGTTTTAAATCATTGTGTACACACTATGTGCGGTAACTGCCATTTTTTTCCACACTGGATAAACACCAGTCATCCAAGGGCACAAAGAAAATGATTGATTTCTAGGTGACCTGTTCACACTGTGGTGCAAAAAACACACATATGGGGGATTTTTCTGCAGCGCAGTGAATGGCACCGCATGTCACCAAAATGCATTGCATTGGTGTTTGAAGATATGAATTAAGTGTCACTACATTACACCTCAAAGAAAAAATGAAGAGGGGGATGTGCTGAAATCCTGCGTTTTACTGTGTGGGCCTGATCACGTATTATAAAACAAATCAATCAGCTGCCATGGCCAGTGCCTGATCTTATACATTCTTCAAGCCACACCTATTCCTTGCAGCTGTTGTTAACATGACTTTTTAATGTACCACCACATACTTAAAATGCCAAGCTTTGTTTACTTCACAACATTGTAATTTTTTAAACATTTTCTAAGTGTTAATAAACCCACAACAGTACAATCAGTCTGTATAGGCAGTAAAGCATGCTTGTTATACTCATTGTGGAACCCAAGGGTTTAATCCTCTGCATTGTGTAAAAAGGCTTTTTGATTCTGATTTCTCTGATCCTCCCCTTCTTCCAGTGTCTCTCTCTTATCTCCTGATAAGACATATCGTGTGGAGTCACTCTGCACATGCTCAGTTTGGTGTGTATTGCTAGAGAGGTTTTTTTTTTTTTTTTTCTTGGGTGAGTGCATGTGATCAGCACAGGGCCAATCAGTGCTCTCCAGACCGAGGTCAGGGGTTCTGCATCCTCCTAGAGCAGAAAGCAACTCCTCCTACAAGCTTTAACCAGTGCTCTGCTGGACACTGATAAAAGGCACAAGACTGCTCTAACTGCTGATGAGAAAAGGTATTTAGCAGTTTATAGTTACTAAAATAATTGCATTTCCATGTTTTGTGTAGTGAGGGAAACCAGATAGTGAATGCAGGGGTTTAGTAACACTTTAAATTACATTAAAAAAAAAGTTTTTTTTTTTTTTTTTTCTAGGATTCATTAAAGCTTACTTATAAGTAATAACGGAGAAAAATTATGGAGTATCTCCTGAAAAGTCCACTGCCTTAAATGTAGTCCGACTCTCCAGGAGGATGACAGATTACCTGTGGTTGAAACCAGGGTGCCGCCTACAAGTATAGGGACGCTGTGACTGGGTAGTCAGGACTGGGTGGTCATATGAGCCCCTTTACATGCTTCTGCATGGTGAAAACAGAGCAATGGCAGCTGAACCTGTGCTGGCAAGAACTGCATGCACTCGATGGCCATTCTGGGGTGATTTCAAGAATGTATAGGTGTCCATCTTGTCACCCAGCTGTCTGTCAACTGAAGTAAATCACAAATGTTCACAAAGAAAAAAAATGCCAAAAGGGAAAATATGGAAAAAAAGTATGCCAGTACAGGTTCTTAGGTTCTAACTGCTTGGCGCTCAACAAAAAACTGAGGCTGTGCTAGCAGATGGTGGATTGGCCAGCAACAGGGGCCACCCCTAGACTGCTTTTTGTGTTTGTACCAAGTGTACTATTCCTGCAGCTGGCACTATAACCCAGTGGTCAAACGCTATAAATTTTAACTTTGTCCTTTAATGAACAGAAAAGAAAAAAGCTTTTTTCAGGATTCGTTCGTTATAAAGAATAGACCAATAGAAAGCACAGCAAGAATAAGAGCAGCTCTGTCTACTGTGACCACATGGGCAGGCTGGTTGTGTGGAAGAGCTGAACAAAGTTTGGTCACCTTGCCCATCACTGGCATTTTCTCCAGAAGTCTCCAAGATGGCAACTACTGGGCTCACTTCTCCCGACTCCTGTACACTGTGTGAGTCTCTCTTTTCCCGGGCCACCTTCAACAGATCGGGACTGATGTCTTGTTTAAACACCCACTTAGCCATACTATCTGCAACACCACCTGGAACCAAAAACAGCAAAGAGATTACTAGTGTGCATTCTGCATTTTGGAATCATTTTCATTTTGGAGTAAGGGAAACAGGGATATCTTTATCTGTTGTGAAGCTCACAATATTTTAGAAGCATAATGAGTGAATTTGCCCACCTAAAATTTGCACCAACATCACCCAAAGTGATATTTACTTTGTCTGTTCCCTTACCTGGAACATGTGTACATATATGGATGACCGACTTTACAGATACACATACATGTTCTGGTCGGGGACTTAAACCTTAAGCTGGCCATGCATGCATAGATTTCTTTTATTCAGTCTGCATTCTAAATGAATGAAATCGAACAGATTCCTCCATCCACACTAAACAGCGTGCATGGACAAATTGACGCTGTAGCTACTATATTGTGATCACTGGTGTCTACGGCTGTCAGAGTACCTGAGCAGTGACTGCAGCTGACTGGCTACAGTGACTGTTCAGCCAATAATATTTTGCCTGGCTACTCTGATCTTCAGATCAAAGTCTGTCGAGCCGGGGGTGAAGCCAAAGAACCATCCATGGATTGAATTTTGCCAGATTAAGCAGGAAATGGTAGAAATTTGATCCAATCATGGCCAGCTATACTAAACCCACTTTTTTAGTGTACTAGCCAAACAATTAGTGTCTTAAGGAGTGGATTGGCAATGGCCATCTTTCTCTTGGAAAGGACTGGCCCCACTCACCTTTCCCGCCTTCTAGCAGCTTCTTGACAGACGGTTTCCCAAGCGGCTCCACCTGCAGGGAGGATATTCTCGCCGTCTTCCTCACCCCCTTACATTGCAACAGTGTTTGAAGGATAAGGCAGTCTTCTAGCTGCTTCAGTAAGAGTTTCCAGTATTCTGTATCCAGAGACAGAGCTTCCCAAGAATCCGTCATTGACTCCACATCATCCTCCTGCAAAGATTTAGGAAACTAACAGAAAATATAATATAAGTGGTCACTGCAATGCAGCAATACCTCTATCCACCACTAGTGAGGACTAATATACCAAGCTGAACTCCAGGCAGACATGAAAAAAACAAATTACTGCAGCTAGATCAATCATAATACATTGTGATATGCGTTTTTTAGTCCCTGTATACCAAGAGAAAGCAGTACAGGGAGCTAAACGGTTGGCATGCAGTGCAAGTTGTATGCTGCCGGAAGGAGAGAGCAGAATGACGGAGATCTGGTACTCAGTCTGCTGCTTCAATTTTCACTGCCTGGTCACAGTGGGGAGGTGCGACAAGATTTGTGTTACTTAAAACTGGACTCCAGACACATTACAAAAACTTTTAAATCCTCCTCATCCAACCATTCACATAATTTCACAAGGGCTTTAGTTCAGGTCCCTGTAGTGGCAGATGGTAGGAGGAACTGGCAGGGTGTCCTATGTGCATTTCAGTGCAATCTTAAAAGGCACCTTCCACCCTCCCTTGTCACAGCCCACAAAGCCACCCTCACCTGCTATTGAGCTGGTTCTCTCCCCCATCTGACAGCTATTGAGCTTGTTCTCTCTCCATCTGGCAGCTATTGAGCTTGTTCTCTCCCCATCTGGCAGCTGTTTGAGCTTGCTTTCTCTCCCCATCTGACAGCTATTGAGCTTGTTCTCTCCCCATCCCCATCTGACAGCTATTGAGCTTGTTCTCTCCCCATCTGACAGCTATTGAGCTTGTTCTCTCCCCATCAGAAAGCTATTGAGCTTGTTCTCTCCCCATCTGACAGCTATTGAGCTTGTTCTCTCCCCATCAGACAGCTATTGAGCTTGTTTCTCTCCCCATCTGACAGTGTTTGTCCCTTCCACAGCTGCTGCACTGCTTTTTCTCTCTTGATCGGACACTACTCGTTCTGTTCCCTTGTCATTGCGGCAGCAAGCAGTGTCATAGCTCCGTTACTCTGCTGCCTTGATGGGAGCTGTAGACATCATGTGCTGCTTGGCAGAGAACACTGTACACTTCGATAGGGCAGTCAGTGGTGAATAAAGAGTGGCAGGAGGGGTAAGTGGGGACAGGGGAGCTTCATCTCTGAAGTAGTATGATTGCCCTGCTGAGGATCCAAGTTAGTAAAGCAGCAGCGGGGACAGAGTAATGAAGCCGGGGGATGGTGCTAGGCAGGGAGAAGCTGCATATACTGCTACTCTCCATGTATTACAGACAAGGTAATGTCAGCACTATGTAACTTTTATTTCAATAGGTCAGTTAGGTAACCAATCACTCTTGTTGACAGGAAGAGGACAGCAGTGATTAGTTGCCTTCACAGGAAGAAGGGGCCTCTTCAGAAAAGAAAGGCCACCAATTCATCAATAGTTTGAAAAAAAAGAACACAATAGGTTTACAAGAATTCTGGATTTTTGACAAGTATGCAAAGCTCTACCTATTTATCAAATGATTGTTTTGCCTGGAATTCAACTTTAATTGCAGCAGAGAAACATCAGGTTTCCTCCCCAGGCAGAGCTGTGCAAGTCTCAGAAATGGATGGCCAGACATAGAAATCCTTTGATAGAAAAGCTCCCATATATGAATTTAATTTGTGTTTTTAGCAGTTTGCCTGAATTTCAGCCTTAAAGTTAAGCTGCCATCAGATCAGCAAGATAGAAAAAAGTAAGATCAAATAAGCATGTAAAAATGAATTCATGTAAAGTAAGCTGTAATAAGGTTCTCCTGTGCCCTATGTTTTCCTGTGTGAGCCGATCATATGACTGGCAGTTAACAGACCTCTAAGATGAATATTTCAGAAGCTCGGTTTCTCTATGAGGACTCGGTGGCTGTACTGACTGCATGCTCTAATATGAGAGGCATGCAGGGGCAGGTGAGAGGCCTGTTTTACAATATACCACTCACTGATTATCCAAATGTCCTGGCAAATTTTAATAGTACATTTTTTTTTTTTTAAAGAAGGGGCACAAATTGTCCAACAAGGAAGATAACATCATACACCATCAGAAAATAACAAACATAATCATTACATAAAGACTAGTAAGAGCTCTAGGAGAAACACAAATAAATAAAACTAGATTTCAGAATACAGGAAATGGATCCATAAAATAAATACCTATCCCGATGTCCTGGCAAATTGTACTCTTATTACAAGAACAGCCACAAATTCCTCAACAAATAAATACAAGGAAGGTGTAGATAATATCATACACCTTAAAAAAACTTAAAAACTGAATTAAAATTACTATTAATGTGGAATGTTTCCTAAATTTCACGTTAAGAAAAAATTCTTGTGAGGTCTCAAGGGAAGACCTTAAAAAAACAAACAAAAACAAAACCCAGATGAGTATACAGGTGCATGATGTTATGTGTTACATCTCTTGCATGGGAGCAAGGTCACTGGCTGCACAGGGGCAGCCTGAAAAGTGATCCATAAGAAAGAAAGGCAGCATGGACACAGGTGAGTGTACTTGTTTATATGCAATGTGTTTTATATTACTGACATTTTCTTAAAGGGGAAGGTGTTCTCTGTATAAAAACACAAATGATTATAACCTTAACCCCCTTCCTGCTCACCCCAACATCCCTTTAAAAGGTTATGAAAGCATGGGAAGGAATATGTGACCACTGTGATTGGCTATCACAGTGATCACATGATCGTACGCTGGTCCCGCGTGGCTACCATTCGTTAGTGAGAGCGGTCTTTGACTGTGTAAGGTTAGTGAGCGTGCTCTCAGCACAAACATTGGCTGCCAAATGACGCATATGTACGATAACAGGCAGTATGTTGCTCAGAAAAAACGTAGGCATGCTACACACTTACCTTCTTCTCAGCCAGTGCACTGGTGATGCCAGCAGCAACTGAATGCCCAACATGAGCTGACAGAAGAGCAGCTCCATTGCTCGAGGACTGAACACATGCAGTACGCATCTGCTGCCACCAGGGGGAGACAGACTGCAAGTCCCAAGACTCATCAATTGCCACTGAAGGAAGAAAAACAAGAGAACCTGTCATGACACAAATATGGAACCATTGCTTACATCTCTTTAAAGTTGCAAACCCTAGCGCCGTCATCCTTGATTTACTACTTAAAGTGGAACTAAAACGCAAAAAAAATTAAAAACTGCGAATAGGCAGGCTTTAATTGCAGAAGACAAATTCAACTTCTGCAATAAAATACACTTACCTGCCTATTCACAATCTCCTGAGGAGTGTACATGGTTTTCATTTCGGGCACAGTGTCAGTGTGCCAGGATGAATGGCTCCTGCATGTGGAATGACATCATCCCGTACTGGCCAATCAAGAGGGATAAACATCAAGACCAAGAAGTCTGGAGAAGATGCCTGCGAGGGGCTTTGCAGGCGTTGGACATTTGGAGAATAGATGAGTATATCTGCCTTTAGTTCCGCTTTAGCCCTCATGCACACAGGACATTTTTTTTTTCCTCCATTGGACGCTTTTGTTGTGGCAGGTAAAAAGAGCAAGTTAAAAAAATGCACCTAAAGCCATGCTTTGCAAACGTATTTAGGCACGCCAAGCATTTGGACATTCATTCATGCCAGTGGAATGAAAGCTTAAGCAACAAATGCACCGAGCGTTTAGACACATTTAGGTGTGTGCCAAGTGTTTTTTATGCTCAAAATCTACTCTCCCGAAACCACAAGTGATGTTTTCTTTTCAGCCTCTAAACATGCCTCTCTTCTAATAGGTCTGTAAATGCCCCTGTTTGCATGGCCACATGCAAGAGAAAAACATAGAGGTGTGTTTAGAGGCTGAAAAAAAACCTGAGGCTCGGGCATCCTAGATGTCCTTCCCCACTTCTCTTTTTCTTTTATTTCCTTTTTCTGGGCTCTTCTGTAGGGACGATCTGGGAATTAAGATCTGTTCCTATGTATTTTCCTGTTTTTCACAGTAATATCTCATCTATCTATGCCTATGTTCATGATACAAGTGTATGGATTTTCTCTTGCTATTCACACGGTCTCCATGTTAAAATGCTATCAATTTACCTTTAATATGACAAATGTTTGTTACTAGTTACAGTCCATGTATGGTGATGTACTACCGCTCTTGACTCACAAGTTTTTTACTTTGTGGTCTTATCAGTATATTTGTTAGTGGCAACACATGTATATCTTACAAAATATATTTCAATAAAAATTTATTGAAAGGAGGAAAAAAAAAACATTGGGCTTTCAAAAGAGCCTGCACAAAAAAACGATACACTGATGTCACCTTCCCACCTACAGCCTGGACAATACAGTGACAGCCATACACTGATAACTCTCCTGTTAGCTCAGGTGCATGCAACAGTGGCTGATGGACATTTAGTGCGGTCTCTTCCTTTCCCAGTGCTGCTGTGCAGGGGATAATAGAAGCCTATATAAAGACAGATTTAGGTACTTATACTAGCCGTATAAGTATTTTCAGATTTAATTAATCTGAAAGAAATGATCTGCATTAGCTGGAGTTTTATACTATCTGCCAGGAGTTCAGCTCTAAGAAGCAAAGCGACAAACTTCTATACTAAGCCCAGCACTGACAGCTAAATGAGCACACCTGAGACATTTACATCACTGTGCTGTGAAGCCTCTTGCCTTGTATTAGGCGAAAGGACTTAAAAAGATTACACCTGGTCAGTTTGTTCTTCTAAAGTACTGAACAGGAAGTCAGCTGTGTGTTCCAATATATGTCCCCACCAGATATCCTCCTAAAACAGGATATTCCATGCTGCACCCCAACACAAATATCTGCTTTAGCATCACGTTGGTTTGTATTACATGAGCAGGGTTAGTAGTACATTTGACACCATCTGGAAAGAGGTGTAGTACAGAGCCAGGCACCCACCTTTCATGTTACTCAGCAGAGAAAGCATGCTATGCAGGCAGCACAGGGATTGTGGTTTCTCTGTCATCTCTCTCTCTTTTGACAGCCAGACTTTCAGGAGCAGGGACTGAAACAAAACAAACAACTCAAATCACTTTGCAGCACAATCTATGTTCACGGACAAACCAATTCTGCACTCAAGGATGGTCCATTAATCAAAATCCATTTATACTGCAACATCAGCACTCTGAAATCCTGTGAGACAGCGAGTGGTGCAGTCACCAGAATTTATAGAGTAATAGAACAGCAAAAGGAAGAAACAGCGTAAAAGCAATGGTTCAACGGGCAGGTGGCAGGGCAAAGTGCCTCGCCTTCAATTTATTTCTTTAGTTTGTTATTTAATTTTACTATTCATATAAAATTTTGTAACTTACAGGCAGCATTATTTAATGGTGTTACAGGGCATTTTGGGTTCTTAAAGTGACCACACAGCAGATTCTTCTCTCTTTTTGACCTTCTGTCTCTAATTCAGGGGAAAAAATGACAGTTCCTCCCCATTGTCAGTCCCCCGCCCAAGATACTAACCCACCTGCACTCCCTCACTAACTCCCCATTCCCATTAGAGCCCTCACTCTATCACTCTAAAGGCGCAATGCTTCTTGGTATAGGGGAGTATGTGACTCCCCCATGTGACAGTGCTTCCAACGATGTCATTCCCCCCAGGCAAGTTCTGACATTAGAATTTACTCAACGTGGACTCCTGCAGCTGGGTGACAGCAAGGGTGTGTGGATGGGTGAGAATACTTTACTGAGGTGGGGTGAATGGGCAATTAAAAGGCCCTTAATGGGCTAGTGACAGAGTTTGAAATCTCTATGTTGGCACTATGTACCCTACTGAAAGCAAAATACTAGTCTATACTTAGCAAATTTGAAGCTGCTACCGGAGTTTCATGAGAAACTAGACTTGACCTCCCAAGCAAACAGCCTATACCACAGTCATTTATAACCATTCAGCAACCCTCTAGCCTGTACCCATGGATCATCCTCTCCTGTACTACATGCCTCAATAAGCATTAATTACCGTACAGTGTGCCCTACCAGGAGTAGCTGAGGGCTTATTCCTGCACTCTCCAGCGTCTGGCACATTTCCTGGGTTGAACATTCCCCATGTAGACACTTCCAGAAGAAGAAGCTTCCTATGCAGAGCAGAAAGGAAACATTGAAGACTTTCATTTAAAGGTTTGTTAGAACAGTTCCTAGACAGTCAGCTGACATCACCACTCTGGCATTGCTCACATTCACTGGCTGGCCTGACCCTTTACCATTTCAAACCTCTCAGCAACTTCAGGAGTCTCCACTGAGAAGACCTGTTATCGTTACAACATGCAGAGACATTTTAGGCAATAGTGCATTTCCAACCTTGGGGTCACAGTTTGGAGAAAGCCCTTTTCCGATCCATCAGAACTTTGCCCTTGTGCACAAAGCTAGCTCTTTAAAGACACGGTTTGACCAGTCTGATGTGGAGGCACTTGAATGAATTGTAGAAAGCCCTGACCTTAATCCTACTACACGCCTCTGGAATAAAGTGGAATGCTGACAGAGAGCCAGGTCTTCTCATCCAACGTCAGTACCTGACTTCACAAATGTTCTTTGGGATAAATTAAAACAAATTCCCCCAGATGCTCCAAACTTCAACATTTTGTGGCGAGCCTTCCCAGAAGGCAGTTTCCAGAAGGCTGAAGACTGTTAGAGTTGCAAAGGCGGGGGGAAGAGGTAAATTCATATTAATGCCCAATAATGGAATGGGGTACAACAAGATCATATAGGTATGATAGTCAGACGTCCATAAACTTTTGTCCATATCGTGTTTTTATAAGAGTGGAGGTCGGCAATGGAAGTCTCCATGTTTCTGTCAAACTTAAAGTGGTAGCAAACTGCATCCAAAAAAAAAAAAAAAATCCACTGCAAGGTAAAGGCATAATGTGCTAGTATGCACCGCATACTAGCGCATTATGTAAAACCTACCTTAAAATTCCTTAAAATTAAGTCCTAGCACGCTGCCACTGCTGTAGAGATTTCCATCTTCTGGGTTCGTGAGCTCTGGCCATCTGGCTGGCTGAGCCGTGATGATGTCACTCCCGCGCATGCGCACGGAAGTCTCGAGACATGGCACAGTGCTCTGACGGAACGGCACCGGTATGCCATTCCTTCACGTGCCAGCTGAAAAAAAAACTCTGAATATCTCCTAACAGTGCACGTTTAGAAGATATTCATTTTACCTACAGGTAAGCTTTATTATAGACTTACCTGTAGGTAAACATTAACAAAGTGGCTTTACTACCACTTTAAACATTTCCGTACAGTTTTTTTTTAGCCCACTTCATTTCTGCTTGTCCATTGTGACTTTTTAACCCCTTTACGACCACACATCACATATGTGTCGCTGAGTGGTGAGCTGTCAAAGACAGCTGTTGGTCATGGGTAAAGACTGGTAGCAGGGAGCCACCGAAGTGGGGGGAGTCAATATAAAAACGAATCACTTCTGATTTAAAACTTTTCTGACTGTGCTGAGCTCACTAGGGGCTTGTGTACAGGATTAGAGCCTATGTCAATGGGATTTTGATTGCTTCAGATAGGATTTACATTCCTATGTAAGCCCACTGAAATGCAAAACCCACTTGAAGTAGACCAAATACAGGTCAGAAACAAGTCAAATGCAGGTAAAATGCATGTGTCAATGACTTCTGAATGATCACAGAAGTGTATCAAACTGATGTAATAAACACAAGCCCAAAGCCCGTTGACATAAGCCCTTACATTGTGTCACATATAAAGGATCCGCTGAATTCAAAGTGTTACTTAATTTGTTACATTTTACAAATGAAAAAATAACTGAAACTGCTTACCTAAAGCAATATATTCCTCTTCGCTGAGCTTCTTCACAGAAATAAAGTCTTGATCACACTCCAGGTACTCCAGGAAAGTCTTGACCGGAAGCATTCCATCCTCATCCTCTGCAAAGCGGACGCCAGACCTGGTGTGCTCCTGCCTGTAGTTTCTGATTATAGTTTGAAGCCTTATCAATTCACCTTCCTCCAGTCTTAATAACTGGGCCAACTCCTGCAAAACCAATAAAGTGATCTCTTACTAGGATATATGTAATAAAGACAGGATATCTAAAACTGAAAAAAAAAAAAAACGTAGTTGTCTTATCTCAGAATTCATTTAGCAGGGTTGTGGACTGTACTGTTTTATATGCTCGTTACCCCAAGAGGGAGACTACAATTTTGTAGCGAAAAATAGTCATCAAAATATGGAACAGTACAAAAGTAAAAAAGTGAGGCTCTCACTGTTTAGCTCACTTTTAATGACATTAAAAAAATAATCCATATGCATTACAGCTTTGAGAGTACATTAAAATACTGTCCTCTGTTTTAAAAAATGATCTTTACTTTTGAAGCTGCTTCTATTGTGGGCACCCCTGTCTGCGAAAGAGAGCAGACTGTGCATGCGTGGTTAGGCAAGCTGAACTCTTGTAGCTGCGCACTTGTTCACGTGGTGCTGGGGCTGCACATGCAGCAGTAGGATATCCTGCCATCTAAGCAGGATGGAGAGAGGAAGCCCAGGGTAGCAGCACTTTCAATATTAAGGATCATCTTTTTTTAAAAATGGAGGACATCATTTTAATGTATAAAGCATATGGAATTTTTTTTTAAATTCATTAAAAAGAAAATGAACCCTTTAAATCCTTACTCCAGGCAGATGTCAAAGACACAAATGCAGCTCTGTATTTAATACATCAGCAACTGTACTTTTAAAAATGAAAGCAGTATTAAGTTTCTGAATCTGACCTAGTATCAGCCTTTTTACAGTCCACTACACAACAAAGCTCACACAAGAAGGATAGAGCAGAGTGACAAAGATTAGCTCATCAGTCTACTGCTGTCCAGTCACAGGTAAGGGGAGGGACAAGACATGTATATGTTACTTAACTGCAGCAGAGAAAAATCAGGTCTCCTGCCCTGACAAACGGGGGTGTGCTGTGTGATGGGGCTGTGTAAATTCTTAATTGACAGAAATACAGATCTTTAAACAAGTAAAAAGCTCCCATATACGTATTTCATCTTTATATTTAGCAGGTTCCTGGAGTTCAGCTTTAATATGTGTGCTTATTGAATACACAATACGGTTTCCCCTTACCTCTTGGGATTATGTCAAATGTTTTAAAGAACAGAAGAAAATGTTATGCTCTGTGGTTTTGTTCCATCAAAGGATCCTTGCTAAGCAGAGTGAAGGACTATGTTTCGAGACTGATGCTTACTTTAGTAGAGGGAGTGGAGACAGTTTCCATGGTGACAGAAGTGATTTTCTGGACCGATTCATAAAGGTGTAGAAGCTTTAATTTGTACTGACAGAAGACCAGAAGACTCTCATCCACAAATTCCAGCTCTGCACCAAGGGAAACACAGATGAAATCAGAGTAATAGAAAACTACATCAAAACGCACAAAACAAAATGTCTGTTGGTTAATGTATGCAGACTTGGGGCCAATAGCAAGCTATCTTGTTGTTAAGCTCTTTTTGCATTTGCTCTTTTAGTGTTATAAAAAAAATGACTGGTATGAAGAGCAGACACCATATCTGCAGAAGGTTTTAATGCCCCTGCTCTGCCCAAACGCTGGGCAATTCTGGTTTGGTAAAGCTTCCTGGCATTGTCAGAGCTTGTCCGTGCTCTCCCACCCCAATACATTCTTACTGGTTAGCCTCACATGCTATAATTGAATGTGTGAGAGGTGGCAGCCAAGCTTTGATCCTGCCAGGATATGTCAAATCTTTGTCTGATATAAAAGACTTCAGGTGGATCATTGACAGCTAAATGCCATCACTTTATAACAGATTTTTAACAACCCTACTAGAAGTACAGAAAAAATATCAACTTCCTATGTTAGGGAAAGTTAGCAGCCCAACAAATCACTGGGGCCACAAAAGAGATACAGTGGAGGGAGGGGTGTACAGAATTTGCATTGGGGTGTTATGGCAGTTGAACTTTACTGTATGAACTGCAGCTCCCATTTATCACTATGGGGATCAACCCACCCTCCGCTGTCTCACCCAGCTTCCAAGTCGTAATTCTATCTCCTACACATGGCCACCCTCGCTCCTGGCATGTGCTTGTGCCACATACTAGTGCCAACACATTACAGCAGTACAGGCATGTTCCAGGATACTAATGTTTCATTTTATTGCCACTTACTTCATCGCCATGATTTCTCTGTAACAGCAACAGTGAATACTTCCTGCCGTGCATGTTACCAGAAAACACATGTATCTCTGGATTTGGCCTGGAAGTTTGTCAGCTGTCCCCATTCAGGAAAACTTGAAGATCTTGACCTGGGGGTTGGCATACAGCTTCAAAGCTGGTGAAGAATAGGCACCAAGGGAGCACAGCGTTCCCACTGTCGACATACAGCACCGAAACACAATTACCCCTTGACTCAGTTTTAAACACCCGCAATATCTTGTATAGGTCTCAAAAGTTAGGGTAACACAAATACATGTGTTTTACCATGCCTTGCATGGTACTGCCTGCTACTGCCTGGTGCAATAATTCTGGGCCATATCAAAACAACCTAAAACAATCTGCTGAAGTACTCCACAGAGAGTAAATGTGATCTTTTAATAATTTATTGAGATGATAGCTGTGCTATGAGCCATTACCTTGGTTCTGTAAAGAATCCATGAGAGCCTGTGTAATACTGGTAAGTGAGGAGAGAGGAATGCGGTTGCTGGTGAGGATATTTTCTAAAGCCTGGATATACAGCACAGAAAAAAAAAAAGAAAAGGTACTTAACAAAAACTGTACAATGTCAGTTTGCTGACATCTTTAATCTGCACAACATATATGCCAAATCCCTGTAGAAGAAAAAAAAACAGAAGCTATACCACCACAGCTTAGACATTAGCTGAGACAGTTGTCACTCACTTCTCTTCAATAAATGACAATTTTCATTTGGGATGACACAAATGGGGTCCCAGTGAGTGACAAGCCACAGAAAGTAAATCCTAACTTTAAAGACACAATAACAAACATAAACACCTGGATTATCAGCCCAAGTATTGCCAGAGTGTTCTATATCATAATTAAATGCTAAATGCTAAAAGGGAGAAAACCTTTTATGCTACCATACCTGTTTCTTAGTTGCTGGATATTTAATATCTAAGAGAACTTCCTTTGCTTCAGCTTCATTCAGCTTCAATTCGCTCTGCATGAAAAAGAATACAACAGCTAAAGAGAACGAAGTCTACTAAAATTTTCACTTAAATTAAACTGAGCCGGGTGCTACAGGAAATGTTTCTTACTGCCTAATGCACCCAGCTAGAACCCTTGTTTTGTTTTCAGATCTGGATTACATAAACAAGAATTGTAAACCATTTGCCTGCTATGGGTGAGACTATTTTCTTCAGCATGCTCATTATACATCATACGTCAACAGTGTAACACTGTCCAGTGCAATTCTAGAAAAACATACAGGGGTTTATTTACTAAAACTAGAGAGCGCAAAATCTGGCTGCAGCTGTGCATGGTAGTCAATCAGCTTCTGACTTCAGCCTATTCAATTAAGCTTCGACAAATGCAGAGCTGCACCAGATTTTGCATCCAGTTTTAGTAAATCAACACCACAGTATTTGTCATAGTTTAGCTTGTCTGAATTAAAAATAAACAAGGACTTTGCTTACTTGAATCAGTAGCAGATTTTATTTAACTTAAAGTGCAATGACAAAACATAACATTATTCTACAAATGATGATAAAATATAAGAGTGTAAAATATTTAATCACCGTGATTTGAAGATTTGGCTTTTAGTAATGAGCCGAGTTTCTTTACGAGATGCAAATCTTTAGCCCGTTCACACTTTTTATCACTGTAATAGAAAAGGTTAATAAATAAATACATAAATAACTAAAGTAAAGATGTCATGTAAAAAGGCGGCACAAAAATGGTCAGGGGGCAATGGTCAGGTACAGTAGTGTCTGCTGATGCAATCTAAGGGACTGTGATTCAGACATTCAGAATGATGAGTTGTAACAAAACAAAAAAAAAAAAAAAAAAAAAAAACACAATCACATGACCATTTGTCCTCCTATTACAGATTTCTCTCTGCTGCATTAAGAATATACCACAAGCTCCATACAAAGGTCTGCATTGTATCAATTGGCAGGGCATAGTATGCAGTAGTACTTCAAAGTATGACGGAGAGCAGATATCCTCTTTCCATTATACATGGGCCCCATAGCAATGTTTTGTTTTAGGTGTGGTTTAGGTCTCTTACCTGAGTGCCAGGTGGAATGGGATGTTCACTGTCCGTACATTTCCTGATACTGGATCAATCAGACAAATCTGATACGTCTGCGGCTGCCAACCCTGACTGGTGACGTTATTTAAACCCATGATCTTATACCCAGGACATAGCAATCTAAAACAAAATGACAGTCAGTGAGCTAAAACATTACTAGTTATATATCAGCTCACCAGACTAATTTATTAAAAACAAAGGGATAAAATCTCACTCACAAAAAAGTGCATTTCATCCGGTGCATATAGAATCGATTGCCTCTTTAAACAAGCATTTCCCCCTTAATGGGCAGACTTCAGATACCTATCCAAGATGACCAACGTCTGGTTTCACTTAGCCTAAGCAGCTACTGGAAGTCGGCCATCTTGGAAAGGTATCTGAAGCAAAAGTTTTACCTTAAGAGGGAAATGCTTGTTTAAAGAGGCAATCAATTCTATGTGCACCGGATGAAGTGCATTTTTTTGTGAGTGAGTTTTTAACCCTTCTTTTCAATAAATTAGTCTAGTGAGCTGATATATTGCGCAATGAGGCTTTTTCATTTATTATTTTGTGCTACATATGAAAAAATGGTGTTTGTAAGTGGAGAAAGTTATAGATATAAAGCCATAAAAAGGGCAAGGCGTAATTTGACCTAACTTTGAATAGGTCAAAATCTGAGGTAAGCAGCTTGGTTGGAAGGTGGAGGAAGCACGGCTTTGGTGGTGATCTGCAAAACAATCACTGTGCACATTTTCATGGTGGAAGAAAAGGTGGACTTTATTATTTCACAGAAGTGGATGCATACTTTGGACTTTGCACTGCAATTTCAAAGGAAAGACACTGTGATATTGTGTTTATATTTATGTTTAATTTATTTTGGAACATGTTTGATTTAGAGGATATAGCTTTAGACTTTGTTTAATTTTGCAGAGTTTTATTTTCATTCTGATACTTTAACCATTTGACCGCCTGAGGATTTACCCCCTTTCCTGACCAGGCCATTTTTTTGCGCTATGCTGCTGCTTTACTTTAACTGACAGTTGTGCGGTCATGCAACGCTGCACCCAATTTATGTCCTTTTCTTCCAACAAACAGAGCTTTCTTTTGGTGGTATTTGATCACCTGTGCGGGTTTTTATTTTTTGCACTATAAAAAAGAATACTGACAATTTTGAGAAAAAAAAAAACAATATTTTTTACTTTTTTTAAAAATCAAATTTCATCATAAATTTACGCCAAAATGTATTCTGCTACATGTCTTTGCTAAAAAAAAAAAATAATCCCAATATGTGTAAATTAATTGGTTTACGTGAAAGTTATAGCATTTACAAATTGCAGTATATATATACTGGAATTTTTTTTTTTTTAGTAATGGCGGCGATCAGCAACTTATAGCGGGACTGCGGCAGGCATTCTGACACTGGGGGGAACTGACTTGGTGTCACTGACATCCCCAAGTGACACCAATACAGTGATCAGTGCTAATAAAAAGCACTGACACTGTACTAATGGCACTGGGCAAGAAGGGGTTAACATGTGGGGGCAATCAAAGGATTAACTGTGTGTTGTTTTACTGTGTGCTGTGTGCCATTTTACATAGTATGCTGTGTGTGTGTCTCACTGTAAGCACACTGCTTTGTATTGGTCTGCTATGCAGAGCCATACAAAGCAGTGTGCAGGGGCTGATGGAAGAGATCTGTATTGTTTACAAACAGTTCTCCTCTCCCCCCCGTTGTCGGAGATGCTCGGCAATTACAGGGCGCTGATGAATAATCACCAGCCAGGACCTGGTGATTGACAGTCGAGGCCACGAATGGCGGTGCAGGTAGGGCGCGCGCCCTCTACTTGGAACTGCAAAATCACGTATATATACACACACACACGCGTGATTTTGTGCACCAATGCCACCCTGTAGCAATACTTCTGCTATAGAGCAGACGGGAAGCAGTTAAAGAAAACCTATACTGATACATAATGCTGCTAATGCTGACCTCTTGTGAAATTGCCAAATACTTGGCTGTTTAATTGGTTCAGTGGCATCAAAACTTTCTAAGCCACTGAACGAAAATAAGAACACAGATCAGGAGTTCTAATGACAAAGTTTACATTCATCCTCCAAGTATACGACTGAGAAAGCACTGAATCGAGAGATAGGCAGGTAGTCTTTACAGAAGGAGTTTGCCAATGACAGTGTTCATATCTCTTGCAATACAGGTTTCTTCTTCTATGCATCATTATTTTCTGTGTGGCAGTAGACACAGCTCTTAAATAAAACACTAAGAGGGCAGACGTGAAAAGAAATAAATTTGTACGCTAGACTGCACTCCAAATGGCATAAAGTGGAACTTTAGGTAAAGATTAAAAATGGGCGGACAGGTAGGATTAATAATGCAGAAGAGACATGCTTTACCTCTTCTGCATTAAAGCTACCTACCTGCCTGTCCACCCCTGTACAGTGAGCCACGCAGGCACAGCTCACTGCACAAACTTGGCAATGCCGAATTTGACAGAACTTCCACTCATACGCGGGAGTGATGCCATCCCTGCCTGGCCAATGGCAGTGGCCGGCATTCGGGACCCGGAAGCTGGTCACCAGAAGATATCAGTAGACAGGCGGGGAGCTCCAGGACAGCGCATCGCGGGATCAGAGGTGAGTATTGTTCCACTTTAAAGACCTTAAAAAAGAGGGTGTTTAGTGAGAAAAAGGTGGATGGTGCTAGTGAAATGTAGTCACATACACAGCTGCTCAGGATCAGTACATGTACTATTACATAATCATATAATGTACAGCAACACTTCAGATACTCATGAGACTTCATCGTCACTTTCACCTAAAGAAGTCCTGGAGTCCTGCAAAGCCCCAAATTGTTGCTATACTTTATGTGATTATTATACATGCTAAGGAAGGGCCCTGTGCAGCCCCGAGACGTTGGCTTATTTAACAATTATGACACTGCAATAAAAAAATGAACGTATATGTTTGCAACAAAGTCCTGGTGACATCTCATCACTTTACTGTGATTTACATGACGTCATCTGCTATGAGTCACTATGAGCAACCATCTTTTACCAAAGTCCAACACTAAAAGAAGTGCAGTCCTCATCCTTTTATTTCTTTCAAGTGCATAACACTACAGGGAACACTCAGTGACAGCAGCAGTGCTAAGTCACATGCCAATCGGGAAAAATTGGACCATCGTTCGTCCAATTTTCTCATTGTGTATAATAGGATTATGACAGGTCATGTGACCAGGCTCTTTCATTTGGCACCAATACCAACCCCCCTCCACCCCCCCCCCCCTTTTTATTGAATTAAAGAGTCTTTACTTGTTCCGAAGCCCAGAAGCAAACAAAGTGAAGAGCACATTTCTAAAGAACACTGCTGTGCTTTGTGAGTGCAATAAGGTCAAGTTGTTGCTGCTACACAAATTATCGCTTTAAGCTGGTCATAGACTGGCAAATTTGCAAACATTCGTACAAATATTCATACTTTAAAAAAATGTTTGCTTTCAACATTCGATTTTGGAACAAATGGACTTTCCCAAACAGAAACCACATTCACTGTTAGAAATTTTCAAGAAAAATTTTCCTCCCTGTCCTTGAATTTTCTTGTTAATGCAGTTGCAAATGAACATCAATTTGACTCCACAAACTATTACAAAATCGAACAAATGTTCTTAGAACATATTTGAATGAAATTCTACCAGCTTTAGGTAAATGAGGCTGACAATAGATCCAAAACACGACTTCTATTTATTCAGTTCATTGAACAGATTAGTGTCTGTACTGTCCCCACCTGCAGTGTTTGCCCACATTAAACGCTCCAACACGGGGCCCTTGCTGCGTGCTCCACACTTCCAGAATTCCCCGTCTAGGGGCATAGATGACGAGGAACTGGGCCACCCGGCATGGACCCTGAACACTGCCAAATTGAGAATGATGGCTTCTCTCCGTTTCCCTCTCTTGTAGGTCCTCCACTATTTGCATCCATCCAACCTGAGCGTCTCGATAGCCTAAAAGACATGACCGAGAAGGAGTGAGAAACTCCTCACCATCTCTTTTTCCACACACAAAACCCCATATGCAATTCCTCAGCCAATGCTGAATCACTGGATGTCAGATGAACGCTGGATATAATGTCAAAACTGCAAAGACAATCGGTAGTGGAAACTTGTAAAGTCAGAATTAAAGGTAGATGTAAACCCTAACTGGATGACATTTAGTTTAGCACTGTGTGACTTAAAAAAACAAAAAGTGCACATTTTAAAACATTGAAAATTACTTTTAAAATGAAATGAACATGTTAAAAGATTATTTGAGATTTTATTGATTTGAGATATTATTTATTAGGTTTATATCTACTTTAGTATCCTTTTGATGGCCAGAAATGTTTTATGCCTGCGAAGAAAGTTAAATCAGAAGATGATTTTTTTTTTTATTTAACAATGGACTGAAAAGTTCTTATGTTCAACATTGACACAACTTTCTGTTTCTTTCTTATCATTGAAAACTCAGACAATTTTTTACAGTGATTGGAAAAAAAAAATCTTTGTCAGATTATCCTTGCCCATAGCCAGTGATCAACAGTTGGACATCCAGTTACTGGCTCCAAATTTCTTCAATATGGCTGGAAATTGTGCAGATGTACTTCCAGAAGCATGAAAACAGATTTGTGTGTAAACAGGCGAGAACCTCCTATGATAATGGCCACATGTTTGTAAAAGATAAAATGGTGTGAAAATATCTTACAATGAAATGGTACAGAAAATAATAAATTAAACGATTGAAAAAATTGGATTTTTTTCTACACGCTTACCTGTAAAATCAATTTCTTGGAGTACATCACGGGACACAGAGCAGGCTATTCATGACTATGTGGGTTATATGTCACCTATAAGTGAATGGACACTGGCCGACCCATCAGAGAGGAGGTCCTCCCCTATATAACCCCTCCTACACAGGAAGTACAGTAGCAAGTAATGAAATTCCAGAAAGAGGCGGGACCTCTGTTTCCTGTGATGTATTCCAAGAAATGGATTTTACAGGTAAGTATGTACAAAAAAATCCAATTTTCTTTATTGTACATCACGGGACACAGAGCAGACTGCTCATGTGGGATGTCCTAAAGCAATAAGAAATTTTGAGCGGAGGGTGACACCATGATAGCTACCACCAACAATCCCTCAAGGCCTACTCAGTCGCTCGTAAGCCGCTGGGGCTCTGACATCCACTTGGTAAAACCTTGTGAATGTGTGAATTGAAGCCCATGTAGGGGCCATGCAAATCTGAGCAACTGATGGCAAATCGCCCAAGATGTCCCCACACGCCTGGCAGAGTGTGCTCTCAACCGAAAGGGTGGGACCTTACCCTTAAAACTATAGGCTTGAATGATCAGCTGGGTGATCCAATGCGAAAGTCACCTTGGATGCCGCCTGCCCCTTCCTGGGCCCATCAGACAGCACAAAAAGAGCCTTCAAACTTCCTGACAGTTTCAGAAAACCCTTATAGCGCGTACCACATCCAGAGTATGCAAAGAACTCTCTCTTGCTGGCTGAGGCCTAGGAAAGAATGAAGGCAGAATAATGTCCTGATTGAGATGAAAACTAGAAACCACATTTGGTAAAAACAAAGATGGTTGAGGTTGCAATACCACCTCATCCTGATGCAAAACCAGAAAAAGTTATTTTCAAGAAAAGAGCTGCCAAGAAGAGAACTCTTTCCCCCTGAAATCTTTTGGATAGATTTGTTCAAATCTTCCACAAACAGTCGCTCCCCATGAAAGGGAAAACCTGCTAACAACTTTTTGCACGGCAGTTCTGCCGACCAACTCTTTAGCCACAAAACACTGCGCATGTGTATTGATAAGAGGGCCATGCAAAACGTTTGCTGAATTGAATCCTTAAGAGCATCAACCGCAAAACATAACGCACATGGAATATCCTCCAAATCCTTGGCCAAACACTCCCCCTGCACCGATAGTCTTCCAAGCAATCGTTTGACGCCATCAGAAAGACTCTGGCAAATGCCAAAAGCTGCTACTGCTAGCTGTGTGGCAGAAACTGCCAGGGAGAATGAGGCCTTAAGGAGAGATTCCAGCTTCTTATATGCTGGATCCTTGAAGACCTGGACTTTATCTACAGGACATGTTAATGACTTATTCAGGGATGAAACTGTCGCACACACTACAGGCATACCCTATTTCTTAAACTTCTCTTTAGTGGGATATAAAAAAGAAACTCTTTTTGGCGGAAATAAAACCCTGTCTGGGTGATCTCAGACAGCATACACATCTACTCCAGAACAAAATGCACTGGAAAGGCCTGAGTACTCTGCGGAGGCTTCAAGGAGCTCAGAGAAGAATAATCCCCTAAGAAACAGATGCAATCATCTCTACGACCTTATCCTCTAAAGATGCTAAGGCTGAAGCAAGATCATCTTTGGTTACATACGCCGAAGCGGGCACCCCAGTAGAAGCCACGATGTCAGATAAACACAGTGGCTCAGATTGTCCAGTTGCTTCTGGCCTCTTAGGGGAGCATACTACAGCGGAACTCCGACTAGGTTCCTAAGGACACAGTGGCGGTACATTAGTACCCCTTCCTTCTGTGCGCCTCCCCCACTCCGCTTTCTGGAAGACATTATTTCACTTAGCGCTAAGACCTGTGCACCTTCCACTAGTAAACACAGAAAACAAGATACAGCTATACAAGTAGTGCGCTAAAGAAAAATACTCAATGCAATTTGCTGAACTCACAGGCCGTGAGAGGCAGTAGCCAGACTAACTGACTAACAGACTCCCTTCCTCCCATGGAGTAGTCATGTGCTCCACCGAATAGCCTGCTCTGTGTCCCAGCAACAGGAATCCACCAGCAGCAGAAGCCCATGTGTGCCCAGACCACCTGATAAATAAACATGACCGATATCTGTTATTATTGGCCGCTACTGCACACGTGATCCATGTGCACACGCACACCCGCTGAATGCACATGCACCCCGTGGCCAGCCACACTCCTAGGGACGAAAAAAAAAAAAAAAAAAAGCTCCCTTCAGTGGCCCCAAACAGAAACAACAGGCAAAAATAGATTGTTACAGGTTTAATACTGTGAGCACTTCCAAATTGGCCAAATTGCACCAAAAACAATACCTCTCCTTTGTTCCTCCAAATTTGAGTTTTCCTTTTCTGAGAGAAAAAAAAAAAGTGGTAGCTTACCAGTCCCTCCGCAGGTCCCTGACTTCCGTCAGGCACCAGCCTTCACCCATCACAGTGGGCGTTGTCATTCAGACCTTCAAGGACTCAGTCCCCATAAAGTGGGGCCACTGCATCAGACCTGCATAGCACCCCACTGGAAAGCGCCTTGGTCAGGTTTAAAATTGCACAAAGTTCCACCTATGTGGGGACCAGTGTTGTAAGGCTGCATTACAGGCAAAACCCAGAGGATTCTTCCCCTTATCCAGTGAGGCTCGGGTACCATCCATTTTTGCTCACAGCTTTCTGAATTAATCCAATTAAAGTCTATGATTCTTCAAGGAACCGTACTAGACCTTAGGTATGCTCCAGGAGCACAAGCAACACTTTCAGTGACCATCCACCTTACAGACACTGGCGAAAAAAACTGAAGTACTTCCTATGTAGGAGGGGTTATATAAAGGGGAGTACGCCCTCTCTGATTGGTCGGCCAGCATCCATACACCTATAGGTGGCATATAACCCACATAGTCATGAATAACCTGCTCTGTGTCCCGTGATGTACGATAAAGTAAAAAAATTGTAAGGTGTGTACTTAACCACTTCAAGTCCGGACACTTTTACCCCATTCCTGTCCAGGCCAATTTTCAGCTGTCAGTGCTATCACAGTTTGAATGACAATTGCGCGGTCATGCAACACTGTACCCATATGAATTTTTTAGCATTGGGATTTTTATTTTTTTGCTATGTAAATTAAAAAGTCCAAATATTTTGAAAAAAAAAGTGTTTTTCTTATAAAATTTTGCAAATAAATAATATTTCATCATAAATCTTGGCCAAAATTTATTCCGTTATCTTTTTAGTAAGAAAAAAAAAAATAACCCAAATTAGTTTATAAAAACATTTTGTTTACATTTTATATTATTTATGGTTTTTTTGTTGCTGTTTTTTTTTTACATACTGTCACCCTAGCAGTACAGTGTCACCATGGTGACACACTACTTGTGGGGGGTGATGAAGATTTTTTTTTTTTTTTACACCGATTGCTTTTACACCCATAAAGGCTGTAAAAGCAACCATTTCTCCTCTCTGTCTGCATTCTTGCAGCCATTGAGAACTACTGTGTGAGCTGTGATTGGTCATGGCTTGTCACATGGTACAAGGCTGTTGTGAATAGCCTTGTACCACGTGACCTCTATGATCATTCACAGATTTCACACGTAGTAAGCAATGATGTCAGCAGTGGCATCTTGCTTACTACTTTGCATGTGATCACTGATTGGCCAATCAGTGATCAAATGATCATGACCTCGCACAGATGTGCGAGGTCATGATCATGTGATCCTGAGGACACAGCTGGCACCAGATCGTGGTGCTGCGTGCTCCCAGGGCGTTTATAAACGGCCACCCGACCCTGCACTGCCACCGTCCGGCCGTTTATATACAATGGCCGGACGGGAAGTGGTTAATAATAAAATACATCTATAGTTTTCAAAGAACTTAATCTTGTACAACTATTTTTTCTAGACATAGTGTGAGCCTGTATATGCTAAAGGATTATTCTACATGAAAGTAATATTTCAATAATAGGTGAAGCTTGGTGGAGGAGCCGGGCCAGCCTCTGGAACTTTATATATCTTGAATGATCCAGCATGACATGATTCCTGACTTTTCCTTTCCTTCTGGAAATTTGGGGGTTTCCCCATTCATCTTTGTATGCTACTGCTATAATATTATAAAATAAATAAAAAGCCAGCAGATGGAGAGGAAGTTCTTTACAATGGGCACAGCCAGTGTATAGACTCAGGAACTCAGCACAGAGATGTCACAAATATGGTTTCTGAGAAATACAGTATGAGTGTCCAGTGATTTCATGTTCCATCATAGTCCACAAACTGAAATATTAGTTTTGGGGGAATTGATCCTTTATATTTCTGTAGGAAAATTAAAACTCCTAAATTTAGCAGATTGAAGAATCAGGCTATAAGATGGGTGGCTGCCTTTATACCCATGGCCTGCTGCAAAAAAGAGGCTGTAGTGTTTATACATTCATGAAAACCATTCAGATATGGTAATTAATCCAATGAGTAATATGAATAAATTGCTACCCTTCCACATTCGAATGGCCACTCCTCTTCCCACATCCAGAAGAATGACCCTCCCAAAGTCATCGGTCACTGCAGCTAGCGTGTTACACGGGGAAAGGCTGATACTCTCTCCATGGCGACGGGAGTCAGGGAGCCCGAACCTGACAGCAAGGGGGGTTGCAGGTTCCACTTTAGGCTTCTGTTTTTGCTGTGGCTCTTCTTCATGTTTGCTCTTCCAGCCCAGCCAACCACTAGGTCAAAAGAAAAGCAAGTTATCATCACACAAAGTATGTAAGCGGACTACAGATAATTCATGAATATTGTTTTTCTCGAAACAATTTGACCATTCATAGGAAAATGTTATCTCAGTCATTTCAGCTCGCCCCTTCCAAAGCTAATGCTATGTGTTTATATAGGAGATTAAAGGCTTAAAGAATGCGGAGTTACTAATGGGAGGTGGGTTCAAGACAAGCAGACACTGATGGAGGAGAGTGCTGAGCTGCCAAGATACTGCTGGGAAAGGGGAGCAAGGAAAGCTGGGCTGAGGAGGCACTGCTTAGAAGAGGGGACAGGGAGAGCTTATCTGCTGAGTCACTGCTGAGAGAGGGATCAGGAGAAGGAGCAAGAGGAACGGAGATCCTGAGGGGAGGGGAAGCAGGCTGGCCTGAGCTGCTAAGTCACTGATGCAAAGAACAGCCGAGTTGTTGAGTCACTGCTGGATGGGCAGCAGGGTGAGCTGAGCTGCTAAGCCACTGGAAGTAATGGGGAACAGGGTAAGCTGACCTGCTGAGTGACAGATGGGAGGGGGGAGTAGGGTAAGCTAAGCAGTTACAACACTGCGGAGAGGGTTAGCAGAGGGAGCTGAGTTGCAGAGTCCTCTGCTGGGAGGGGGGAGATAGGTAAGCTGAGCTACTGTGTCACTGCTGAGTGCCTGCAGCTACAGTGGCAAGATTTTGTTTTAATGCTCATTTACTGCTTCTGGAGAACAGGTACATAGCCTGGCCATAGCTTTACTTTAAGAATCCACAAACATAGTGGATGGATTCCACCTATTTTCTTTTATCTCTACCCCATCTGCCTGAAAATGACTTGGATATCATATATTATGGGGCTGACAGAAATGGTTCACAGTACCTGGCAGCACTGAAGAGGGCTGAGGTGAGCTTGCTAGCAACAGCAAGAGCCACGTGAGACAATAATGGCTGTGTACTGCCCTGTAGAGATAAATGTGGTAAGTGACATGTAAATTAGCATAACAGACATAACAATACTACTAACATACAAACCTCCAGGGCAAAAAAGAATCCTGTGAATGGATTGGAGCCCACAGTAATATACTGAGACATGGTAGGGGGGCTGCTCTTTATAGAGGCATTAAAGCCTCCCAAAACGGAGGCAGTTTTCATCTGGTCAAATGGAGAGAGAGCCATAACACCTAAAAACAGGAAAACACTTGGAAGTCAAACTGCAAGAATGATATTCAACAATATCACATCCAGGATTAATGAATTAACCTGCACTGTGGAAGCTATGGCCAGAGAGCAAAAGTCTAGTCACCAGCATTTCCATTGGGTTGCCTGCAACAGATCTTTTCTCCATTTGTGGCTTACAATGTTTAATTCTGCACTGAATGACAGCCATCTAGATTGCAGCAGGACTTTGCTTCCTCATTTTAGAGCTACCTCATCCCAACGACTGATAAGGAATTATAAAGCAGCGGAAAGAGTGGTGAGCAGCCTATTAGTGACACCACCAAATCTCACTCTTAACTTTGGAAGACTAACAGTCAGAAGGAGCAATGCCTTAGATGACTTCACACTGCCAATATACAGCTATGAGGCCATAGGCACAGGAGTGTAGAAGCATCCCCACATACCAGGAGGTACACTACTATTTTCGTGAATATCGTAGGAAAAAAGATAAATCTTTCAGGGTAAAGCATAACTAACAGTTCTAAATGTTGCCTATAAGAGAACAAATCTTCAATTTTTTTAGTTCAGTTCCAGTTTCAGGGGAGTCTGACCATGATGTGCAGGGACCATGTGGTTGCTGCCAGTATCTGTGTTGGATCCCTGTGTCCCTATTGAGGACATTGTCCTGAGGTCCAGTGTGTACAAGCTGACATGAAGTCTAAAGCCCTTTCCTGGACTAAGTCCCAAGAATCCTCTACAATTCAACTGTCAAATATCAATATGAAACTCACCCACGCTGCCATGATCAACAATTTTGTCTACATCCTGAAGGCCCCACTTCTTGTAAGCCAGTGGAGGTGGCTGGACGTTTTCATTGCCAGAAGCAGCAGCTGGTGAATACATAAAAACAAGACACGTTTTATATAGGCAGAGACTGTGTGGGCCCTGTTAAAGCAAAGAGCGGATACCACTATCACATGACACCACATTGTTTGCTCCACACTGCCTCTGCCTTCTACATTCACAAAATGCAACGTTTGGTATGAAGCCTGCAGTATTCTTTGGAGTGTTCTCTGCAACTACAGAGAAGACCACATAATAGCAGGAGGGCTCAGCCACCTGAATTTAACAGATCATATGACCAGTCTCTCCTCCTCCCAGCACCTTATAACCTGTTTGTGAAAATAAATGAGCCTTCATTTGTGTCCAGACACATTTTACGTACATCAATATGCTACCTGAAATGTACTGGAAACTTCTCCTTATAAAGCCATTCAGCTGCTTTATAAAAACAAGCCCCCAAAGCCTAAAGCCCTACATTTTACAAAGGCATTTACCGCATAAGAAGTGGACTTATATCTATAGTGTCCTATGAGGAACTTCTTAAAGTTTTTATGCCTGGAGTTCAACTTTAATCACATTTATTTGTGCTCACATCTATACACACCTCCAAAAGGTAGCAGAAAAGAGTAAAGACATGTAAAGTGTAGTGACCATAAAAAACAGTGTTCACTGTTCACCTGCATGGAACATTCACACTTGTAGATGGCTTCTGATTGGTTTCTATTGGTTACAGCATTAGATGCCTTCCTAGCTGCTATGAAGACAGAGCTCTTCTTAAAAACACAGGTATGTTTAAAAGGGATGTTTAAAACAATTGTAACAAGGAATGATGCAAACTGATCCATTTTCCTTTAAAAGTTAAGCTCATCTTTTTTAAAAAAAAATAATAAATGCACATCTTTTTGTAGGTAAAAATGTGCGTGCGTTTATTATTTTTATAAAATCGGGAGCCTGTAAAGTATTGCACCCGCGATCAGCTGATCACAGGTGCAATCTCATGCTCCTGCAGACTGTCAGAATATCTGTCTGCTCGTACCTCATACGGGCAGGCAGATACACAATGACAGGAAGACTCAATGAACTACTGTACATAGAGCACTCATTAGTGCCCTGGTAGTTTACTGAGAACTACAAGCCGTCAGCTGCAAGGGCTGTTGGTACTTGTAGTTCATTAATTCACAAATCTCTGTGAATAAATTATGTGTCCATGTGGGCAGAGCTCCACACATTTTGTGTTCTTTCAAATTGTGACAGCGGGCAGAAGATCCCTGGCCCGCTCTCACAATGGGGGGGGGGGGGGGGGGAGGCTTTGGCGAGAGGCTAAAGCAGAGGGAACATGTTGCACATTCCACCCTAAAAATGGGTGAAACATGTAACATGTTATCCTGTAAAGTGAAGCATCCTTGTCCAAAGATACAACTAACATGCAGACAACAGGGTACCAACAAATACATGTGATGGTTTCCCACACCATCCCTGTGGAGTAACTTGGATTCTAGACCCAGGCTACACATTGGTCCTTGACATCTGCTGAACCATGGTTTAGCCCTGTCCCCTGTCATTCAGCTATCAAATGACACAGCCTCCAACACCTACCAAAGTTCTGGTATTAAACAGCAGAATCACAGGTGATGGACTTCTTGCTAAGACAGTGGTGGGTTTTATCAAGACGTAGACAGATGTCAAGGCCCCAGGTTCAGCTTAGGCCTGGAATCCAAGACTAATACCAGTCTTTTGCAAACACCACAAGGTATGTGTCAAGGTTCATTAACAACAGGTCTGGTTAATTTTTAATAAGGTGATTCTGTGGTCAGATGTTGGGAGATGTTCAGGTAAAGTTAGGCACATGGTCCTTGGTCACATGTCATAACACGGCCCAATTCCAGATTTCTGCAGTGAAACTCCTAAATTTTATCAACTGAATATAGCACGCCTCTCAATCATTCAGCTGTGAGTGTGAAAAACTAAAAGCTGGCCATACATTGTTCATTTTTTTAATTTAGCAGTGGATGAATGAAAAAACTGAATTGGTTCCCCCATCCACACATTCAATATGGATGCGGGAATACACTGATCAGCGTTACAGCCGACTGGCTACATGCACTAACAGAAACAAAATTTTCCAGCAGTACCATACATGAGAAGTCAATAGATAGATTTACTTCTCATGAATGGGAACGGCCATAGATGGATGGAAATTTTGACCCATCCAAGGCCAGCTTTAGAGCTACTGAGCTCTGTGAACAGAGAAGCTAAATGTGAAAAGGGCTCCCACAGCTCCATCTACGGGCTAGAAATAATGAATAACCATTTAGAAAATTTCACAAATATTTCTCTAAAATGTTTTTAAAAATATAAATCAAACACGTTTTTTAATTCTCAGCAAAATAAAAAAAAAAAAAGCTAAGAAAAAAAACATACAGGGAGGCATATAAATTCCCATTAAGGCAGTCTAAATGATAAAGGAAAGTTCACCACAGCAGAGGAAAGTCACTTTTAATTGGCAATATTTTCCCAAATCATTTTAGCAGGCCTTTTTTCACCTTGGTCCCTAAATGGAGAAAATGCTCAGCATATTGGTTTTTTTACATCTTCTATACAGGGATGACTATTGGATGGCCAATGCACTACATATGGTCTACTTCTTCTGATTTTTACTTTTTTTTGCAGTACCATTGAATAGTCAGATTCCTAATTATCACCTGAAAGTCACACTGATGGATATGCAGAATAATGAGGGAAATGAACTGACAGTTAACATGTAACATCCACCCTCACAGAAACATGCAGATTCCATGGCGACATACCTACAAAATGGACAGAACATTATCTGTGCAGATTCTAACACATACTTATGAGAGTAAGAGAGAACATTTTTCTATTGTGATAAAACACCGATGAGTGGTTTTGGATATCAATGTGACTTACCTCTGGCTACTTGATTGCGGCAAGCCCTGAGAGACTGGAAAAGGCTGAAGCCATCAATTGTTACGAGAGCGGACGGGTATAGGATGGTCATTTCTTCATGCTTGTTGAAAAAACAAAAACACATCAAGGCAAAGGAAGGAGGATATACAGTATATGTGACATTATCACACTTTTTAATTACTGTTTACCTCTACAAGAAATTCCTCAAATCCTTTCCATCCTGAACTAGCCTGAATCCTCCACCCTAGCTTCTTACCTCTGTACAAAGCTGCAATGATTTTACTTTTTTTTCATAATCCTCTTCGGCATCGGAAAAAGAATCTGCATGGAAACCTTGCAACTAATAGGGATGCAGCTCTAGCATTCAGGACAGCTACATACAAGTCTATGAGGGCTCAGTGCACAGGTGTGGCTGATCAAAGTAAAGTGGAACTTTAGTCAGAAAATTAAGTCCCGCTAGATGACTTCAGGCTGTCCCCTTTTGAAGGTATAGCTATGTAAAACTTTAAAAATAAGTGCCTATACTGTTTAAAATCCAGTAATACACTGTCTCACCCTGCTTTGCACATGCTCAGTTGCTCTCTATGTTTCGGCACTGTGCCAATCTGCTGACAGCCTAAAGGTTTACTGATGCTCAGAGGCTCTGGGCTTCAGCAAAATGGCAGCCTCCAGCAAGAAGAAACATGAACGATGCTGGAGAAAATTTACAGCACAAACTAATTTCGGTAGCATAATTATTAATGTGAAATGTATGTTCCTTGATAAAGAACATTCATTTATATCAAGTTGTTATAGGTAAAGTTCTGCTATAACATTCTGCAAGGTGTGCTTCTATTATAGAAGTAAGTAAGATGCTGGGTTGGAGACTTCATAACTTAATGCCGAAGGGATGGGTTAGAGAGTTTCTTGTACATGTACTTAAAGTATCACTAAACCCCGGACCCTGCATTCACTATATATGGTCTCCCACAGCACACAGAACATGGAAATGCAAGTATTTTAGTAAATATAAACTGCTAAATACCTTTTCTCATCAGCAGTTAGAGCAGTCTTGTGACTTCTATCAGTGTCCAGCAGAGCACTGGTTAAAGCTTGGAGGAGTTTTCATTCTCCCTTGATTGTCCAATGAGTCTGCATATCCCCTGACCCTTTGTCTGGACAGTGCTGATTGGCCCTATGCTGATAACATGCACCCTCCCAAAAAAAAAAAAAAACTCTCTAGCAACACACACCAAACTGACCATGTGATGTGCAGCTTGCCCCCAAGGCTCTGTTCTATCAGCAGATGGATTGGGGACTGTGGAAGAGGGTGAGGATCAGAGAACAAAGGATCAAAACATCCTTTTTACAAAATGTGGAAGATTAATCCCTTAGGTTCCACAGTGAGAATAAATATCATGTTTTACTGCATTTTTAGACTGATTTTTCTGTTGGGGGTTTAGCAACACTTTAAATCACTGTCTTGCACTTTTGTTGGACTACAAAACACCTTACCCCTTGTATTATGGATAAAACAGGGCAGGGCTGTCAACACAGGTTGTAGTTTCAGTGCTTCTCAGGCACTGTGTTGACAGCCTAACAATTTTATGATTAGGTTTTCCGTGTAGCTTAGACTAACAGCAACCCAAAGCTGCTAGAGAGGGACTTCCTCCACCACTTATTACACCACAGGCCCTGGTGATAGTATCCTTTCCCCCTTCCTGCCCAGTGTGGCTGCATACAAGGCACCCCTCTTACTGCAGACATGAGTGCAATCAATTAGTTATCTGTTTTTATTTAATAACGTGACTTTACTGCACTAGATGGATACACTTCCCTTCACTCTTTAATTCCCTAAAACCTAAATTAAAGCTAGCCCCTAACACCAACCCTAAACATCTGGCAGGATTAATACATCATGGCGATACATTTCTGTTATCAGCAATAAATACTATCACAGCAATACTAGTGTTGGTAATGCTAATGGGTTTAAAATGGATACTAAAAGATTTGACACCTATTTACAAAGCATCACATTACTGGCACCAAAACAATCCCTCACTGATATCTATTTTAGAAAAGTAAACCATCTGCCATTGTAGTACCTGCTCAGTCACTCCCAGGTGCCTGGGTATTTCGTAAGTTCTGCATTTTAGCTGTAGGATCGGGTCTTCGTTCAAAAGCTGGGCGAGAAGCAACACTCCAGTCTGGAAAAATTAAAGCAGGGAAGTAAACACAATCCATGTCCAAATTACTTTACCTTCTATGATTTCTGCAGTAGCAGAGACTGTGTGACCACCAGTGCCTCAGTGCAGAAAGTATAGGTTTTTAAAGTTGAACTGAATATAGCAATCGATAGCCACATTTTTGTGCATCAAATGCCTTTACCAACTCAGCTTTTACCTTGTAAAAGTAGTGGTGATATCATCACTGTGCTGTGCATAGCCCTAATCAAGCAACCTGTGGGAGGGACAAAGCCACCTGCAGAAAACTATAGGAGGGGGCGGATACAAGACCAGACACCCTGCACATGGAAAGAAAGCAGCAGTGACCGGTCTTTATTACAGGAAGCTCCTGCACAGAGGTAAGGTTTCACACTGGATTACTGCACAGATATGGAAGAAGTACACAAAGCACACCAAGAGTCAAGGCAGAATACACACGACTTGTATTCAGACAATATTTGCTTATTGCAGAGTTCAGCGTCATATATATTTGAGAGAAATTTAATAAGCAATGTATAGAAACTGACCTGGCCTAAAACATTTACAATCATGCAGAAGTGTAGGCAGCTTGTGGTTTCTGCATGTACCTGTTAGTCTTCCTTTCATTCCCTGTGTCCTTCTGTAGCCATTATGGACCTTAGGCTTGGGCTGTGCATACAGGGATTCCTCATGTGGCCAAATCAAGATTAAGACTTAGGCAACCACAGTCACATGAGTTAGACAAGTCATGTAAGACCAGAGACTTTGCCAACCATAGTCACATGATATAGACAAGTCATGTAAGACCAGAGACGTGGGCAACCATAGTCACATGACTTAGACAAGTCATGTAAGACCAGAGACTTGGGCAACCATAGTCACATGACTTAGACAAGTCATGTAAGACCAGAGACGTGGGCAACCATAGTCACATGACTTAAACATGTCATGTAAGACCAGAGACTTGGGCAACCATAGTCACATGACAGACAAGTCAGGTAAGACCAGAGACTTGGGCAACCATAGTCACATGACTTAGACAAGTCATGTAAGATCAGAGTCAATGTCCCCCTCCTATTTTTTTTTTTCATCACTCATAAAAATGAAAGGTGCTCTGCTTGCTTGAGATTTCTAAAGCAAGCAAAGTAAAATGCACATATGCACATACTGTATGTAAAACACACCACTTTGCTTTATAAATGTGCCAGTATATATTTCTTGAATTGGTGTTATAATAAGGAAATACGTTCCACTTGAACATCAGTGAGCAGCAGAGGATCTGACATTTGACAGTTGAATTAACAAGTGGGACGGTCCAGTACCAGGGGAAGTAAACTGTTTTATTTAGCACAGAACTGGGAATAGATAAAGTATTTTTTAAAGCTGTTTTTTACATTTTTGGAGGGTGTGTGAAAAGGTCTCTGCATTTTATGTAATGAAGACATATCATGATTGGCGGGAGGGGACAGCAGGGTGCCCTACACAGCTTCCTAAAAAAGCATTAAGTCACTCTGTCTTGTACTCCTCTCAAGAGACCTCGGCCTTGAAGCAAACAGAGGGCTGGCTCTTGATTGAGAAGGGTTATGCAAATATCTAAATGCATTGATGGGTGGATGTCAGTCTGGAAGAGTGGGCATTCCTGGACATGATGCATTTTACATGTAGACCACCCTATATAATGCCCACAGGTGATTCTGAGCCTTCATTATGGAAGGCAATTAAATCCAATAAACAAAAGGGCTGGGTGTAGGGTAGTAATGCTAGGAAGGAAAAAGCTAGATGATGTTGGACGTCCTCCAGCCAGAAAATGAAGGGGGGCTCTATCTGACTTGCTGCAGCTTCTAATGCTCCCAGTGTGCAGTTAAATCAGAGTAAGCAATATTAGAACCAGAGAGAAGCCTGTACAACTGTGCAAGGCTAAAGAGAAAGTTGGAGCTCTGCTTTGAAATTCTGTCAGGTTTTTACCATTTTTTGTAAATCCATCACACATGCCAAGATGTAAGCACAGAGTGTAATAACACAAAACCTAATCGGATAAAAGGCCCAGCACATCAAAAAAAACACATCACCTTGATACAGAGGACCTATCAATCACAGAAACTTTACTGGAATGTTGTTACTTTTTCATATGCTTGACCAAAACAGCTTTAAAGGATATTTTTTATGTTGTTTTGTTTGACTGAAAGTGACAATAAAAACGCTCTGATTTAATCATTTACTGAGTATGCAGCTTCTTTAGTCTTTTTTTTTTTACCTATTTTCTATTTTAAGCTGGTTTATGATCCCTGCCCCAGGCTTCCTGCTCCAGGGTGGCTCCTTTCTCTTGCAGCATCCAATGGAGTCACCCTTGCATGCAGAGACTAGATTTGTGTCTCCCTACACTGTGTGCATCAACAGAAATAGACAGCCCCATAGCCTAGGATGGTAAGACACTCCCTTGCTCCTTCCTCCTCCTCCCTCCCTTCTCCAAGTTAACAGACTGATTGAAGGCTGTACTGCCCACTGTTAGCTTTTTCCTGTGCAAGCTGGAAGTTCCCAGAAGCAGCACTTAAAAGCAGCAGAAGCCAGCAGCACTGAAAGTATTAAGGTGGTATTAAACCCAAAAGCAAACATTTATTATATTGCAGCTTGCCAATTCTTAGATGTGATGGCTGCATTCATTTTCTTTAAGGCTTTCCTTTCTTTATTTTCACCTGGTGATCTGGCCAGTAAGTATGTATGTTTCAACAGAACAAGCTCTCCTGCAGAATGTATCAGTTACAGAGAGATGACAAACCATTTAACAATAGCAGGGGTGCTTACAATGATCAGCTTATACTTATGTAAAACCTTTATCACAAAAAGGAAAAAGAAAACTGTTGCTGTAACTGCTTATATAGTATTAGTTGGAGTTCAACTTGTTTAGTGTATCTAAATCCTCTAGTACATCTAACACTTCCCTCCCCCCAGACTGGCAATGCTGCTGTCCAAAGGTGCCCAATGTGATCCTTTATCCAGAATTGGTGCACTCTAAAACAGGAGGTGTGTTACTGACCAGATCACCAGGGAAAAAGAAAAAAAAATTAATGCAGCCACCACATCTGATGATTGGTAAGCTGCAATATATTACATTTGTGATTTTGGATTTACCACTTTAAACTACAACTTTAAGAATTTTACCAAACAGATTACTGGGGGCTTTTGATTTTATTGTGCTTAAGCTAAAAAACATTGAGGGTTCAAAACTACTTTAAGGTTTTTACGGCTGTCTGTGTCTTCAGCAGGGAGATCCCCCCACCTTCCTGAGTGGTCACTGAGACAGAATAAATAGAATCCCTCCAATGTTAACACATAAAACAATAAAAGCACTTTTATAGCATAGAGAGAAAGAATTAAAACCCTTGTCAAGTTGTATTTGTTGTCCTTGTTAAAATCACATCCCGAATTGGGGACACAGACAGAAATAAAAACCCGACAAAAGTTCACACAATTTTTTCTGGATATGGGTTAAAAACAACGCCGTTGTCTAAGTATCCACCTTTCAAAAGAAACTGTACAAACCTCAGTATAGAACCGTACATAGCCAGATGTGAAGCCTACAACTATGCAAGTCCAATCCGGCCTCCCGGTAGAGCTCCTGTAAGATGCAGACATGCGTCAGTCACTGAAAGGGTGATACAAAACAGATTCAACACATAATATGAAAAGAGAAAACCCACTACTGACTGGAAGAGGCCATCCATGGGCAGGTACTAGCCACAATAAAGTAAGTGACACTCCTCTAAGTTACTGAGTTCAGGTGTTTCCAATGGAAGGCACTGGCAATGCTACATCATACAAAGACATTTAGGGCCAATTCACACTACATGCGGTGACAGCCGTTTAACGCATTGTAAAATGTCTGTTGCCGCAGGGACACACAGGAAACAAATGCTTAGTGCTGTAGCTTGCTGTGATAAAATGCAGACATGTTCATTATATCACAGTGCACCAGCCCGAATCAGACTGCAGTGAATGAAGTATACGTTTCGTGCACTTCAAATAAAGCTAGTACAAAACAAACAAAAAAAAGAGAGCAGTGTGCATCACACTGCCCACAGTGGCCCCATACAGTGGCAATCCAGAGCAGCCGGAGCAGTGAATCGTTCTGGCTGCTCTACGATTTCAAGGCAGTATAGTGTGAATTGGTTCTAAGACAGCTGCACTCTTCCAGCCTTTTCTGTTCCACTAGGCCGTGCCCGATGTACAAAACCAGCTCCATAAAGACATGGTCTGATGAGTTTGTTATGGAGGAACTTGAAGTGCCTACACAGAGCCCTGACCTCAACTCTACTGAACAACTTTGGGATGAACTGAAATGTCTGATTGTGAGCCAGGTCTTATCATCAAACATCTGTACCTGACCTAACAAATGCTCTTTTGGCTGAATGGGCACAACTCCCCACAGGCGCTCCCCAAAAGACTTCCCAGAGGAATGGGGGATGTTACAGCCACAAGGTGGCAGCAACTCCATATTAAAGAATATGTTACCCCAACATGTCATATTCCCGATATGTGCCTGCTGTACCATCTACTATTGTTAAAAAGTATCCTGCTATCTTTGTATTGCTTCCTCTGTGTGATTCCTGGTGTTCCCATCAGTCCTCCCGCCTTCCTATTGCAAACTGACCACGCTAGGCATGCAAGCACATCCATCCCAGCATGGTCAGTTCGTGGCTGTACTGGGAGAACAGCCTGCCTGTATTCCAAGGATCAGATTTGTGCTGACACCCCTTGAGAAGATCAGTATGCTGCTGTTTCTTCACTCTCACCTCTCTAATCCCCTTATGCAGCTGAGAATAGACATTATATGATCGATAAGATATTTATAATTTTGCACACTTGGCTGTTCAGAGGATTTGTTTTGCCTTCTTCTGAACCAAATACTAATGGCTTATAAGATGCTGAACTTTATAAACATGTCAGGGAATTAACTAAGCTCCTTGCACTAGTAAACTGGTATAGGAACCTGTCTGGAGTGGTGTGCAGCACATTAACTAAGCAGATAGATCTGTGTTAAGTCAATCTGCACCACCCACGATAGTTTCACAATGAAATAGAACCTGTAGTGGATGCTGCGGCTACTTATAGTTAATCTGGTTGACAGAAAAGACACAGTCCATCTAGTTCAAGCCTCAGAGAAAGAAAAAAAGACAAATAGAAAGCCTCCATACACACAATCCTATACCCACAGTTGATCCAGAGGAAGGCAAAAAAAACCCAATAAAACTTGATCCAATTAGCTCCAGTGGGGGAAAAATTGCTTCCTGACACCCTAAGAGGCAATCGGATATTCCCTTCATCAACTTTACTTAGGAGAGAGATTGAGGCAGTTTCTCTGTACAGAAAACTGCTGCAGATCTCTGCCAGCTACTCTCTGCACTTCTCCTCCCTCCCAGCACTCAGATGAGGAATCTGGAACATGCTACTCCAGCTACTGTTCTATGCTGTACACTGTGACAGTGCAAAACACAGAGCAGAATAGTACAACACAGCTTGCACCCCTTTTGTTGATTAGGAGTAGCATCTGCTTCATTTTCTAAGTTTAAAAGAGTGGTGCAAGCACTTCTGTTAATTCCCCCCATTATTGATTCTAAAGATTCCCATTTTTTTCCTTTAAAATAACAAACATGTTATACTTATCTGCTCTATGCAATGGTTTTGCACAGAGCTGCCTGATCCTCAGGTCCCCCACTTCTCAGGTCCCCCACTGGCACTCCTGGCTCCTCCCCCCTCTGTGTGCCCACCATAGGAAGCCGCATCCCATGGGGGCACTCGTGTGGGCTCGTTCCCGAGCCATGCTGTTTGCAAATATTCAAACACACAGCTCCACTCAGCCCTGCCTCCCGGTCTCAGGTTTCAACTGACCTCAAGCCTGTGAGAGCCAGAAAAGGTGCTGCACAGCGCTGGACCAAGATCGCACAGGGTTTTTTTTTTTAACCTTGTAACCACGTAAAGCAGGTAATTGAGAGGAACATTGTACACTGGTGTCTGATGAAAAACAAAACATCAAAAGAAAAGTTACCTTTTTTGGCTTGCAAGTGGGATGCATAGTGCACTGCTGATAAACTCACTGCAAGGCAATCAACACAGTATGCTGTTATGTGAAGGCTAAAAAGTAATACACAGTACAATTATCTGACATTTATAATCCAACAAGTCATTATGGACACAATAGTGGTTCAGTGGTCTACACTTCTGCCTCGCAGCACTGGGCTCCATGGTTTAAATCTTGGTTAGGACATTATCTGCATGAAGTTTCCATGTTGCTTGTGTGGGTTTCTTCCAGGTACTACTTTTTCTCCCACAGTCCAAAAGACATGCTGGTAGGATATTCGGGTCCAGACCAAATTGGCCCTAGTATGTATGTGCATGTATGTATGTATGTAAGCAAGATAGGGACCTTAGAGTGTAAGCAAACTGAGGACAGGTACTGATGCGAGTGTACAGTATGTAAAGCGCTGTGTAGATTGTCAATGCTATATAATTATGATAAATAAAATATTTAATAAAATAAAGCACAGGAACAGGGAGATTCTGTTTAATATTTTATGTCAGCATATGCTGCTTTGCATATATATGGGTACGGTGCATTCAAGTTTATGTGAAGTTTTTGCACAGGAGCTGGCAGCATCAGACTTGTGCACTGACACTGTAAACACTGTGGGAGGCCAATACAAAGAGGTAGGTAGGCATCTGGCATGTGTGTATGTATGTATGGGGATGGGGGGAGGGTGTAGCTTGGAATAGATTAGAAGGTTTTTAGGATATCCTAAGATAAACCTGTCCTTTAAGAGGATCGGCTAACAACAGGGGTAAGTGGCGGCATTTGTTTGTGTCACATTTAGGAACCATTTTGAGGCTACTTCAATGAGATGTGTACATTATGTTGCTTGAGAACAACGTACCTATCTTCAGCATTCAGAGAGCCGCTCCAGACCACTTCATACTGCATTTCTTCTTTTCCCTTCCCATCAGCTTTCCACTTAGCTGGAGATTCAAACAAAAGAAATGTCACAGTCTGATAGACAAACATTTGATAAAACTGTCACACCAGATGTTACGGGAGTTTTTTACTTCAACTCAAAACTTTTTGGGTCCCTGACACAACTGTCTACATCCCAGACCGATTTTCAGGGTTTTTTTTTTCAGGGTCTTCCTCTTCCACGGGTGTCTCAAGAACACATGGAACTCATGGAGGAGAAATTTACAGAGGCAGATGTGGCCAAAGCGATAAAATCTCTTAATCCCTCCAAGGCCCCAGGCCCAGATGGTTTTACAGGCCATTACTATAGGAAATATGTGGGGATCCGGACTCCTCACTTATGCTTGTTTTTCAATGACATCAGATGGGGTAACCCCCTGCCTAGCCATGAAAACAATGCCTTTATTCACGTAATTCCCAAACTGGGAAAAGACCCTGGTGACTGCGCGAATTACCGCCCAATATCACTCATCAATGTACACCTTAAAATACTGACTAAACTTTTGGCGAACAGGGTGAACACATTTCTCTCTACATACATTCATTCTGACCAGGTGGGAAGCCCAGTGGATGGGGCACGGATACCAGTGCGAAGATTGATCATTTTTATCTTTACGGCAGCTAGAATTTCCATTGCATAGTCTTGGAAGTCTCCTGTGATCCGGTTTCATCTTTTGAGGGCCAATTGACATGGATTATGACAAACGAACGCCTGTCAGCGATCCTACATGACAAGATGGTCCTCTATGAAAAAGGACTTGGGACCCGTGGATCAGATATCTGTCAGACTCCCCGTGATTCAGACAGACTATCTATCCAAGATGAGATGAGGGCACACTTTCATCCCCCCCCCCTTTTTTTTTACCTTCTCTTTTCCCCCCCCCCCCCCCTTTCTTTTTTTTTCCCTTTCTCATGTTGAGTTTATTGGAGGCATGCTACAGTGTTGCGGGCCTTTCATTATATGTCAGGACTTCATTGTTGTACCTTTTCTTCTGCCTTTTACACTGGAATGTGCCTAGATGCCTCTGTTGTTGGAACTGTTCTATGTTCTTTTTCTTGCTCCCTTATGTTTAAGGGAAGCATTTGTACTTTATTGAACAATTAATAAAAAAACTATTGAAAGTGAAAACTGTCACACCAGATGTGTCACATTTAATAATATCACAATTCCTGGGATCCATAAACAAAAAAAAAAATAAGTTCAGAATAATTTGAGCTTCAAGGAGCTCACCTTGTGTTCAGGAGTGCCCCCTTTTAGTTTTAAGATAGTTCTAAACTATCCTCCTCCTGGAGGATCACTGTATTCTCAAATACACAAGACAGCCATAAATTGGTCATTTATTTTTTAAAAATTTCATGTGACATTTAATTTTTTTTCCATTTAGAATTGAGCATTATTAAAATCTTAGTATATATGTTAAAGTGGTTCTAAAGGATATTTGTTTAAATAAGCAAACATGCTATACTTACCTGCTCTGTGCAATGGTTTTGCAGAGTAGCCCCGATCCTGCTCTTCTGGGGTGCTCCATCGGAGCTCCTGGTTCCTCCTCCCAGCTCTCTCAGCTGAAGGCCACACAGCAAGCAGCTTGCTGTGTGGGCACTCATGCGGGCTAGCTACACTCAGCTCAGTGTGTCTATTGACACACAAAGTGCATCTCGGCCCTGCCCTCAATGGCTCCTGCTGCCTCCATATCCAGTGAGGGGAGAGAGCTGCTGCTCTTGTGCGCAGTGCAGTGCAGGCTCAAGTAAGTATAGGGGGGGGGAGGGCTGGGGAGGAGCTGCACAGAGAAGGTTTTTTACCTTAAGGCATAGAATGCATTAAAGTACAAAACGGTTTACCTTTACAAGCACTTTAAAGATACACAGGACACAAATGTGATACTGCAAGTGGTAAATTTATGTAATGTGACCAGGCAAATGCAGCTCAGTACAAGTTAAAGAGGAAATCATTTAATTGTATTGTTTTTAATGTTCTTTATTTGAAGTACACATTGGAATCTGAATCTGGTGCAGAATCTGGTGCAGTTGCACATAGCAACCAATCAGCTTCTTAATTCAGCTTGTTCAATCAAAGCGGTAATAAACTCCACTTTTAAAGTTGTACCTACAAGTAAGTCTATAATAAAGCATACCTGTAGGTAAAATGAATATCTCCTAAACTTGCCGTGTTTAGAAGATAGTCGCACTGGTTGCAGCTGGTGATGTCACCAGTGCATGCGTTCAGAAGGAACAGCATGTCTGTGCCACCCTCAGAGCTGTGTGCCGTAAACCGTGACTCCAGTGCACATGTGCGGCAGTGACGTCATCGCGGCTCAGCCATTCAAAAGACCAGAGCCAGCGAACCCAGAAGAAAAACCAGGGGAAGATGGTAGCCCCGTCAGTGGGGAGTGGAGGGCTTTTTTCTAAGGCAAGTATTCCATAATGCGATGCATACTAGCACAATATGCTATTGCCTTGCAGGGGATTTTGTTTTCTTTATGAAAAGCAACGGTTTACAGCTTTGACAATAAAACCTAGAAGCTGATTGGTTACTATCACCATATTCTGTGTGCTCCAGTTTTAGTAAATCCCCCCCAATGTGTTGTTATTTTAATTTGGCATAAAGACTTCTCTTCTAAGAGGCGTGTGGGTTTATTTAAAATATATATTCATTGACTTAAACCCAAAAACCCACAATTATAGTGAAAAGATCAAAACCCAAAGAGATTACCCAAAAAAATAAAAAATATCACATATATATAAAAGAACAAAAATAAATAAAGTCCCAATATGCAAAGTGTCCAAATAATGTGTCCAAACAAAGATCAATTTCTTGATAGGAAGATGAAAAAAAAATTAAATTTTAAATATCACTGCAAACTATATATAAAGTGCATAATTACCCTAAAACAAACAAATTCCAGTTTGTAATCAACCACATATGTACAGAGTGTCCTTAGATTGGTATCCTCTTGTTCCTCAGGACCTCACAAACAGACCAGGAATCAGTATGTGAATTATAATCATATATAAAATTTATTGTAGGCACTTACATATAAAAACGATAAGATCAGCAAGACAGCATCCAACTCCTCATGCCCAGTATGCGATCCCCTTTCCGTGTGTAGAGGGTCTCCCGATCACCAGGTAATTCCCCCTTGCTACTCCTATCCAGCACTATCACTGGATAGGAGTAGTAATTATGCACTTTATATATAGTTTGCAGTGATATTTAAAATTTAATTTTTTTTTTTTTTCTCTCACATGAGTGCTGTGACACTGGAGTGTTTTTTTTGCATGATACACGTGTGGCACTTTAGTTCTGGGATTTAAAAGGTAATATACTATGTTGAGATTTTGTTTTTTGAGGTATTTGAAGAGCACCTGTGATTGATTTGCATCTTCTTCAGTGGAGTAGGAAGCGTCTTCCTATCAAGAAATTGATCTTTGTTTGGACACATTATTTGGACACTTTGCATATTGGGACTTTATTTATTTTTGTTCTTTTATATATATTTGATATTTTTTATTTTTTGGGTAATCTCTTTGGGTTTTGATCTTTTCACTATAATTGTGGGTTTTTGGGTTTAAGTCAATGAATATATATTTTATTAGTACTTCAGGGGAAGGATATTGATATGACTTTAAGGGATTCTTGAGGATTTTATATATATATGTGTGCTGATTTATATTTATTTTGTGTGGGTTTATTTGTGCATCTCTTTTCCCCCTTCCAGAGGGGTGATAGTCAACAGTGTGTCAGTAATTCAATTTGTGGTCACAGGTGGAGTGATACAACATTTTATTTTATTTCTAACAGTTTGGTTGTGCTGACTCTAAAACATAAGGACCCTGACCCTAGGACAGGAAGCATGCTACGAATACTGAACACCTCCCTTCCATCACATCTTGGCTCAACCACCTGCTTTTAACCCCCCCCCCCCCTCCACTTCCCGGCCGTATATTTGAGCATGCCCTTGACCTGTTCAGCTCTCATACTTGTACACACAACACCACCTATATCTCTATAGGCAGAGAGATAAATAGAAAGGCTATTGTGATGAACTCTTAGGGAGAAACAATAAAAACCAGGAAAATATATAGAGTCTTTACAAAGAGCTGGAAGTGTCATAATATCAGCTGAAGCTGAAAGCATAAATCTTGAAAAATTCAATATAAAATGAGATGTCTTACGTGCTAAGAACACTGCTTTCTGATCATGGGCGATCACCATGAGGTCATTGGTGGGTGATAAGGACAAGACGCAGTCCTGCAACCAATAGATGGAGGGGGCTTTGCTGGGGACCCCCTCTTCTGCCTGTGCATAATAAAATAAAAAGTTGCTGCCATCTCAACAAAGAATTGCTCAGCTGATGAACTGTTTATGAAGACCAAACATGTATTATTTTGTCTGTGAGTATCTTAAAGCAGAATTCCTATACATAAATTTTAAAGTAGTTGTAAACTTCAGATGTGAAATACGAACAAAACATATCCTTCTACAGTGTGTACTTGACTCAATCCAGAGCACTAAGTGTAATTTCTGTTAGCTGCCTTGTTCCTTTGCTATCAGCATAAATCACTTCTGAAGCATTTAAAGGGATGGGCACAGCCTGTGATTGACAGCCTCAACTCTGTTCATGTGTACTGTGTGGAGGGGGGGGGGGGTCCCTTCCCTCCAATCAGCTCTCAGAGCTCTCCTAACTGATGTAACTTCAGCTCCCCACCCGCTGCGTTTCAACGTTAAGAGATCCTGTGTAACTTCTGCACTTTGGACAGATGTAGGGGACCGACGGCTATACACAGGTACCACTTATGTAGGAGGATTTTGTGTCATCTCTGTGTACCACCTAATGCCAGTCACTGCACTGGGTATACGTAGGAGTTTACAACCACTTTAAAAGGAACAATTACTGAGAGGAACACATGGCTGTAACTGCTGTCCTCCCTCTGAATATGCTAGTTCCCTGGCTGTGAAACATCTTGCTGCATTCTTGTTCTGGGTCGGCAAATTTTGAAAATATTAGTAAACAGAAGATCATCAGCAGAGTCAGAAAACTAGCATTTTCAGAAGAAGGTCAGCAATGGCATCGTCTGTATGTCATCATCACAAATTTCCTTTAAAGTGAACCTGCCCAAAATGTTGATGTTAGAAAAATAAATGCCCTAAAAGCGGTGCCATTATCCTTGTTAACTTCTTGTGTGCAATTCTGCTTTATTACTAATAGGTTTTGACTCCCCTAATGCTGGGGATACGTCATCCACTGTAACACACATTGTGCATTGCGGTACGCCGGAACGCTGCATTCTGAATACGTGTTCAAGAGCCATTCAAAATAAATGGAACCACATTGCATTAAACTATGCATGGGAAGCTGCCATACACTGTGATAAAGCACATGCCTTGCCACACATTGCTATACCATGGTGGTGTGAGCAAGCATTCAAAGTGGATGCATGGGTTAAAAACATTTAGGTACATCTCTGTAATTTATATATATTACTATGTTTTGTATTTTTAAAGGAAATTTATGGTCACAGCATACATTTTCATTTTATAGCATCAGAATTCTAATAACAATACAAACAACAGTAATATGTGACAATCCAATATACTTTTTAATATTACTTGAAAAGTCTTCTTTTTTGTGAGTTCTGCCTGTCTGCTGGTCGTCTCTTTCCATAACTTACTGGGTTCCCACCATGCTTTGCAGCTTCTCCTCTGCTGTTTACGTTCCTTTTCTAAGGGACTACATATCCCATGGTACCTTGCTGCCTGCAAGCAGTGATTCCTGTACTGACTCCGCCTCCTTAAACTCCTCCTCCCAGCACCTCTCTACTTCAGAAGGTTGGCTCAGTGAAATGTGTGACACAGCAGTGCCTATTCACACGGCAAAGTGATTAGGTGTCACAGAATTTAAAAGGAGAAGCATGGCAAAAGCTCTTTTGGCTATATTTCTCTTCTGGGTCACAGGAGTGCACTTAGACTCGAATTCCGCTGTTGGCTGGAGTCAAAGAGCTGGTAAAGACTCTGCAGGGATCCCAACAATAATACCGGGATCCACCCAGATGCCTGACTGGAAGCTGGCTCAGCCTCTCAGCATGTTGCTAAGAGCCTGAGCCAGGTGCTCCCACCCCCTCTGTGCTCAAAGCGGACCCCAGAACTGAGCAATCAGCTGTCTTTGATCACTCAGTTCTTGGTGTAGAGCTGGCAGCGGACAACTGCGGCTCGGATCGATGCTGCAGCCATCTAGGTGAGTATGCAAGTTTGTTTTTTTTAGGCTACTGCACTTCAATTATAAGGGAATTAATGTGTGGAGATCTTCACAAAATAAATTTACCAACTTCAAGATTGTTCAGATTAATAGGAGTAGGCTAGAAATAATTGAAATTCAATGTGGCGATGCAGAAATAATTTCAAACTTTGACTATAGATGCACTTTAAGAATGCAACATGTACACAAAAATACCTATTTATTGGTCATAAAAACTAGTGAGCTCCTAACTTTCTGTTTGAGCTGACAATCCTGCTTCTCCTGCACTGAAATGCCAAACAGTGTTGTCAACCCTATCCTCACTGAACTACAGTAATCCTCCCCTTTTCCCCATCAACGCAAGAAGTTTAAGGGTAGAGGGGAGATTTCATGCAGGGCTGACAACACTGTACAGGATTTCAGTGCAGCAAAGGCAGTGTTGTCAGTTCAAACAGGAAGTTAGGAACTCAAATTCCTGGCAGATCTAGGTTTTTTTTCTGTACTTGTATAGCTTTTAAAGAAGCAAAATTTTGGGAGATGTGCTTGTGTTTTATTTTTGTTTTTTTAAATTGTTCATTTTGCAGAGTTATACATTTTAAATACACATACAAGAAAGTCATATATCACACCATCATACACCGATCCAAGAATGTACATAAACTAGGACTGTGCCCCCACCAGGCTGGTACAGTGCCTGCTGAGCCAAAATAACTGGTGTAAAATATAATTGCAGGTTTCATTAAACAGAAAACATGACAGTAGGAAATCCAGGTCAAATGTTCTCATCAGGCCCTGCGTGGGCAGCAGTTGTCTCTAGCTGCCAGCTGTGCATTGCCCATCACATGAGAAGTCATACAGGGAGAAGTCGGGCATGGTGCCAGCAAGGAATACAGGACATTTAACAATGGCCAGAACAGAGATGATGTCACGATTATACATTTGTTTCCCCTTCTTTAACTTGATATGAAACCGAATTATAAAATCTGGAGGAAAAGTGTCAGCCAATCAAAAGTTTTCATCTCTTGCACCAAAAAAAAAATAAATAAATAAATCCTTGATCAGCTAAGGGCAATACAGATCACTGCCATACACCATATGCACCTTAATTTGGCCACAGACGGGTCGATATTGCCCAAAAAGAAAGGTGTGGAGACATCCTTGATGATTTATATAAGTCAGCATACCACATTTGATGTTGATTTATACAGCATATTGCATAGATGATGCACACATATATACAAGGAATCACAATATGGTATGACAGGTCTTTTTTACACGGACATTCAATTCTATAGATTTTATATATAAGTATTTATGAAGCATCAGGTGTTGTCCCAGTAGATCTTGCTGCTTCATCATATTGATGTGTTTCCAGCTGTAAAGCAAGCTGCATTTCCCCACTGATGCAAATCCTGGCACACAATGTACAGGTAAATGACAAACCCAACCCGAAAGAGAATCCTTACCGGAGGTTTATTTTCACTTTCCTCCCACGATCCCCAGTCATCATTTTCCCAGCTGGACAAATTATCTGTAAAACATATGGAAAATATGATTACATTAAAGTTTTCAAACTGGTAAAAAATTAACACTTTACTAGAACATATGTAGCTGAACTATGTTATCCTGCAAAAGAGCTGCCCTGCATTCAGCATTGTTTGCAAATCCCTTTAAAGGCTGTACATGTTAGGATTAACACAATTATTCCTCCTTTGGACACCCTTAAGAACGTACCACTGTTCCCGCAGAGATTCCTCGTTGTGTCCTAGATGTACCGCGGAACAAGGTCATCTCATACCCATCTTCTGGAAATGTCCAACATTGACCCGGGATTGGCAAGGAGTGTTTGATATTATTAATTGAGCATTTCAATGTCATGGAACACCTGAGCCAAAAATGGTCCTCAAGAGACTCTGAGGACCCATATAACTTATACACACATAGAGGTTTCCCTCAAGAATAGGAGTCACTCTACACTTGCACCTCCTGCTTTATTATGAATAGACACTTCAGAGACTATACTTCTATACTCCACTTTTATTGTGCATATTCATGATGCACAATAGTATACAGTCACATGATCCAATGACGCAACGTGTTGGGAGGAGCGGCCAAAGTCCCTCTGCAAAAACCTGCAGTGTGCGGTTGGCCATTTTGTTGGATGGTTATACCAATACATGTCTATATACAGCTGTGCACCATGAATGTGCACAATAAAAAGTGGAGTATAGAAGTTTTTTTTTTTAAAATAAAACATATTGCATTTTATTTGGAGAGGACTATATTTGCTTCTTTATTTTGAGTGTTACGAACATCCATCAAAGAATTATGGTGGATGGAGATGGATTAAGAAGCATCAGTAAGCTGGGGAGGGGCATTACAACTGTGGCATAGGAGACCCCACTTAAAGGGGCAAACACATAGAACCTACTTGTGAAGTCTAAATATAAGCAGAGAGCATTAGAAACGTTGGTGAAGGGATACATGCACGTGGTGAAAGAATATTTTGGAGGATTATAAACGCAGTGGAAGGAAAACAGTTGACACAGTTGGAAAGATATACCACATCACAAATACATATGTTTGCAAGAATGTATGGACATTTGGGACTTTTTTGTTAATACATATTGAATTTCTCAGTGTTCGATCACATGGAGTTGTTTGCTGTTGGATTATGAAATTAATTATGGTACAAGGTATTATTTATAATACTTGTATAGTGCATGGCACTCAATATACATACAGTGCCTAGGAAAAAAGTATACATACCCTTTGAAGTTTTCCACATTGTCATGTTACAACCAAAAACATAAATGTATTTTATTGGGATTTTATGTGATAGACAAACACAAAGTGGCACATAATTGTGAAGTGGAAGGAAAATGATAAATGGTTTTCAAAATTATTTACAAATAAATATCTGGAAAGTGTGGCGTGCATTTGTATTCAGCCCCCTTTACTCTGATACCCCTAACTAAAATCTAGTGGAATCAATTGCCTTCAGAAGTCACCTAATTAGTAAATAGAGTCCACCTGTGTGTAATTAAATCTCAGTATAAATACAGCTGTTCTGTGAAGCCCTCAGAAGTTTGTTAGAGAACATTAGTGAACAAACAGCATCATGAAGGCCAAGGAACACACCAGACAGGTCAGGGATAAAATTGTGGAGATTTTTAAAGCAGGGTAAGGTTATAAAAAATATCTCAAGCTTTGTACATCTCACAGGGCACTGTTCAATCCATCATCCAAAAATAGAAAGAGTAAAGTACAACTGCAAACCTACCAAGACATGGCCGTCCAGCTAAACTGACAGGCCAGGCTAGGAGAGCATTAAACCAGAGAAGCAGCCAAGAAGCCCATGGTAACTCTGGAGAAGCTGCAGAGATCCACAGCTCAGGAGGGAGAATCTGTCCACAGGAAACTATTAGTCGTGCACTCCACAAATCTGGCCTTTATGGAAGAGTGGCAAGAAGAAAGCCATTGTTGAAAGAAAGCCAAAAGCAGTACCATTTGCAGTTTGCGAGAAGTCATGTGGGGGACAGCAAACATGTGGAAGAAGGGACTCTGCTCAGATGAGACCAAAAATGGAACTTGTTGGCCTAAAAGCAAAACGCTATGTGTGGCAGAAAACTAACACTGCACATCACCATGAACACATCATCCCCACTGTGAAACATGGTGGTGGCAGCATCATGTGGGAATGCTTTTCTTCAGCAGGGACAGGGAAGCTGGACAGAGTTGATGGGAAAATGGATGGAGCCAAATACAGGGCAATCTTAGAAGAAAATCTGTTAGAGTGTGCAAAAGACTTGAGACTGGAGTGGAGGTTCACCTTCCAGCAGGACAATTACCATAAATATACAGCCAGAGCTAAAATGGAATGGTTTAGATCAAAGCATATTCATGTGTTAGAATGGCCCAAAGCCCAGACCTAAATTCAATTGAGAATCCGTGGCAAGACTTGAAAATTGCTGTTCACAGACTCTCTCCATTTAATCTGACAGAGCTTGAGCTATTTTGCAAAAAAGAATGGGCAGAAATGTCCCTCTCTAGATGTGCAAAGCTGGTAGAGACATCCCCAAAAAGACTTGCAGCTGGAATTGCAGGGAAAGGTGGTTCTACAAAGTACTGACTCGGAAAGGGGGGGCTGAATACAAATGCACGCCACACTTTTCACATATTTATTTGTAAAACATTTTGAAAACCATTTATCATTTTCCTTCCACTTAACAATTATGTGCCACTTTGTGTTGGTCTATCACATAAAATCCCAATAAAATACATTTACATTTTTTGGTTGTAACATGACAAAATGTGGAAAATTTCAAGGGGTATGAATACTTTTTCCAGGCACTGTGTATACATATATACACGTACACATACCTACATACACACACGCACACACACACACATATATATACACACAGTCATGGCCAAAAATATTGGCACCCCTGCATTTCTGTCAAATAATGCACCACTTCGCCCAGAAAATTGTTGCAGTTACAAATGTTTAGCCATTCTCATGTTTATTTCTTTTGTTTGTATTGGTATGACACAAAAAAGTGGAGAAATTAAAGGCCAAATCTGAAGCATTCCACGCAATACCCCAAAAATGGATTGGACAAAATTATTGGCACCCTCAATTTAATACTTGGTAGCACTCCCAATGGAAAAAAATAACTGAAATCAATCACTTCCTGTAATTATCAATTAACTTCTTACACCTCTCTACTGGAATTTTGGACCACTCTTCTTTCGTTAACTGCTCCAGGTCTTTCGGATTGGAAAGGTTCCTTTTCCCAACTGCTGTTTTGAGATCTAACACCAACATGTCAGAAAAAAAAAAATCAAAAACAGAACCACTGAGTTGGAAATAGGATCACCCCCCACCCTTGTGTCAGTATTTTGTTGAACCATCTTTTGCATAAATTACAGTCTGTTGGGATATGTCACTACTAACTTTGCACATCTACTTTGCAATATTTGCCCGCTCTTCTCTGCAGAATTGCTCAAGTTCCGTTAAATTTGATGGTGACCATTTGTGGACTGCATTCTTCATGTCATTCCACAGATTTTCAATGAGTTTGAAGTCTGGGCTCTGACTAGGCCAAGCAAGGACATTCACCTTTTCTCCTTCAACCACTGTGTGGTCATTCTTACTGTGTGCTTTGGGTCATTGTCATGTTGGAAAGTAAACCTTCCCATTGACAACTTTCTGGCAGAGGGCAGCAGATTTTCCTCAAGAATTTGACGGTAATTTGCCCCATCCATTTTTCCTTCTATCCTGAGAAATGCTCCAGTCCCTGTTGCAGAGAACCCCCCCACCTCCATGCTTTACTGTAGGAATGGCATTATTTGGATGATGAGATGTATTGGATTTCTGCGAGACATATTATTTAGCGTTGAGGCCAAATAATTCAATTTTAGTCTCATCTGACCATAAAACCCTTTTCCATGTGGCCTCAGGATCTTCAAGGTGCATTTTGGCAAAGCTCAGCAGTGACTGCATGTGGCCTTTCTTGATAGGCTTTTTTTTCTTGCAACCCTCCCATACAAGCAACATTTGTGGATAATTTGTGATATTGTCACATGCACACAATGACCACTCTTTATCATCAATTCCTGCAACTGTTTAAGAGTTGCTGTAGGCCACTTGGTAGCCTTCCTGATCAGTTTCCTTCTGGCTCTTTGATGTCCTGATTCAGGGAGGGTCTGTGTTGTACTAAATACCTTCCACTTTTTAATAATAGACTTCACTGTGATTGATAAATCCTTTGAAATTGTTTTGTATCCATTTCCTGACTTGTGTCTGTCCACAACTTTATCCTGAAGATCTTTGGACAGTGCTTTGCCAGGCATAGTTCATTGTTTGCTTCAGCTGGACTAGCAGGGACTATAATGCTCCAGGAAAGCTCTCGTCATGCTGCGCTAATCAAAATGACCGCAGGTGATCACAGTTAAAAGTCAAATGGCTTTGTGTGCCATTGAGAAGGTGATTAGCTACACCTGATTAAGTTTACAAGTCATTTTTAGGCTAGGTTCACACCTATGCAGTTTGCGTTTGAGCAGTTTCTGCATTGTGTTTGTAGTTTTTTCACTTGTGTTTTTGACGTGTGTTGCAATTTTTTCTTGTAGCTAGGCAGATTGAAAATGCAAAACGCATCAAAAACCAATACATGCTTCTCTGCAGCGTTTCCATTGAAGTCTATAGTGCCAAAAACACAACTTTTGCATTAAAAAAAAGTCCCTGACCCTTTCCAAAAAACGCACCGGGTGAAAACATGCAGATATGAACGTGTCCCATAGGAAGTCATCTTAAATGGACTGTACTGCGTTTCTGCAAAACCCAAAATGCTGCAGAAAATGCTTAGGTGTGAACCTAGGGTTAGGAGGGGGTTGATCCTTTTTTCCAACTCAGTGATTCTGTTTTTGAATTTAAAAAAATGTTTTTTTTTTTACATTCTGGTGTTCTATCTTTCACGTGGATGTTATAATTGCAGAGTAAATAACACCAGATAACAAAATGGGATTATTT